GAAAAAAAAAAAAAAAAAAAAAAAAAAAAAAAAAAAAAAAGAATGATATACTTAGAAGGTGAGAATCAGAAACTCTAGTGTAGAACCTATTTGAGAATCTGAACGAGATCGCACAATAGCTGAAGAGTGAATCTCCCTGAGACATTATGTCAGAATATGCAGGCATTCTCTATTAACCACATGAACCATTTTCTCAAAATTTGGACCAAGGAAATATTAAGCATGTAAATAAATACAAGGACTGTCTTTTCTTTTATATCATCTACTTTAAAGAGGATTGTGAACACTGATTCAAAGTCACCCATAAATAAGCTAGACATACTCACCTCCCACAACCCCACCTACACTGAATTGTGCTCTAGGTTAGAAATCAACAACGGAAGAAGTGGGGAGGTGAAGACTGTCAGGTGCTTTACTGAAATCAAACTGTGTGTCTATTTGAAAAGCTCTCTCTCCCCCTCTCTCCACTCCACAAGTCCTCCTCCACTAATTTACTCTAATCCCTTATTTTATTCCAAAGTGAAAAGCACTTCTGGCAGATTATTGTATCAACAAAGGAGGGAGCTCCATTGTGCTGGGAGCCAGATCCACACCTTGGTCCACCCTGAATCAAAACTCAACCAGGATTTCACCCAGTCTCGACATGTTCCCACGCCAGCCACTTGTTCCTTCAGGGTACACAGCCAATGCCAGGTATCTTCAGCTAATGTCAGATGTTCAAACTTTTATTGGTGTGCCCAGAAAACTTCTCTCATCCTGCTCCTATTTTAATCAATAATCCTAAACTTATCTTCTCTATCCCTTCATTCTTTTGCAAAGCATTCCTTCAAATTACATACCAAGCCCAGCTAAATTACCTGACCGTAGGGTTTTCCCCAGCATTATTTGTGTATGAAATCACCATAAGCATACTTATAGGCCCAAGGCAATTAGGTGGACCCGTGGCAGTTGGAACAATGGTCTGTGGAGGCATTTGCCCAAGTTCATTCCGAAGTTTCACTTGAAATCCTGGAGCTGCCAGTTCCAGCCCACTGGTTCTGTGTCCTTCCTCTCTCCACTCCAATTCCCAGAGTATCTCATCCCGTGGATCCCGCGGGCACATTGAGGTGGCTCACCCTTGTCATAGCTCTGTTTCATCCTGACCATTTTGTGGTACATCCTTCCCCTTTGGACCCCTCCTTAGCCCTCAGCATTTTACCCTCTGGAAGTCTGGTTCTGCTGCCCAGAGACTTGCAGAAATTGGGAACCTTGTTCTCAACTACACCCTCCTCTGGATTTCCCCTGGTGACATATAACACCCTGTGCAATTCTCAAGGTGAATCTATTCCTTCCCCCCACACACTTTGCTCCTTACCCCAGCACTGGGCAGCTGTCCTGTGGCCCGTGTGAACTTTCAGTATCTCTTCCCCACCTCATCAGTTTTACATTCCTGCCTACCTCTCCATACTTATGCATTGGTATCTGTCCTCTTCTCATTGCTCATGATCATCACTATCATTTGGAACTTAAACCCTGTGACCCAGGTGGGCCATGCATACCAGGGTGGCCAGTGTGAGCAGCCAGGTCAGGTAAGAAATTCCACACTTACGATGCTGCAGTGTGTGACCTCTATCTTTCTATTTGCCTATGAAAGCCAACTTTGTTTAGTCCGGCCAAGTCTCCTCCACGTGTTACAGGGTGACAATCATGTGCTTCTCTTATTATATCACTTTTAGCAGCTTGAAAATAGCTGCCTCTCTCTTTGAGTTATCCCCCCAAAGTAAATTTCAAAAAGTACTGTATCCCAGCTACTCAAAAGGCTGAGGAAAGAGGATGGTAAGTTCAAGACCAACTAGGGAAAATCAGGCAGACTCTGTCTCCATATAAAATTTTAAAAGGCTGGGAATATAGTTCAGTGTAGAGTGGCCAAGGGTTCACGTGCTAGTACTGAAAAGAAAAGCTACTTTTAGTGTATCTGGAGTATAGCTGCTCCTTGATTTATAATGGAGTTATGTACTGGTAAACCCACTCTAAGTTGAAAGTACTGTAAGTTTAAAAACATCTAGTATACTTAATCTGTCATACTTCACAGGTTAACCTAGTCTGTGTCAGACATGCTCAGCACACTTCCATTCATCAGTAGTTGGGTGATATCATCAAACGCCAAGACTCTTATAATGTCGCCTTCGTAGCTCCTGTACTCGCTGAGCACAGCGTGCTGCATGGTTAGTTGACCATCCTCATGGACACATGGCTGTCACAGGGGCTGCAGCTCACTGCTGTCCAGCATGCCAAGCAGGGATCAGAGCAAATATCATCATGGCAGGAAAAGATTCAAGTGCAAAATTCCAAGTATGGTTTCTACCAAGTGCCTACTGCTCTTGTACCATCGTAAAATCAAAACTCTTGAAGTTGACCTCCCATGAGTCAAGAACTCTCTGTACTCCACAATCTACTGACAACTCCCAGCTATGTGCGTTAGAACACACAAGTCACGCTTTTTCACGAAAGCACCATCACCGTGCATGTGGGTCTGAAAACATCTCTGGCCATTTTCCATAAGAAATTTCTGCAAGGAAGCCATAGGGTCAAAGTCTTTGAATGTTTATAACTTCTGCCACATAAGGGCAGCTTGCTTTGTAGAGTGGCTGCCGTAATTCACATTCCACTTGCAGGGTTTGAGTATCTCGCCACACCCTTTCTCTCTATAATCATTTCAACAAATCTTTGCAGAGCGACCAGCCCAGATTGGAGACAAGGATGATGGGACAGTGGTCTAAGTCCAGGAAAGGAGTTACTAGCTTGCCTGATATGATAAAGGTTTTTTTTTTTAAGTTTGATAAAAGCAATTAGTGCTATAAAAAAGTAAACGCAATAAGAAATTTCAGAGGAACAAGGGACAAAAAGCCATAAAAGACATATAATCATAAAACACTACTGGGCCTTATTTATATGGTCACAATAATGCAATGATTTAAAAGTGATATAGTTATCTGGGTAGGAGGGGAAAGAGAGGAGGCTGCGTGAGAGCTGACGTTACATTGGTTACTGCGGAACCTGAGGTACGAAACCAAAAAGCACTTTAAGCAAGTGAATCATTCAGAGAAGGGAACATAACTATGAGAAGCAGCAAAGTCGGATAGTAGCACTGATAGAATGGAGAAGGCAGGAACCTTACTTTTCTTAAAATGAGCTCTCTTTAATCAAGAGCACTCTTATTTTGGTTTTTAAAAGGCACCAGTATTCTAAAATATAGAATTCAGGCCCTATCCGTTTTTGCAGATTTGTATTACTTGAGTATTATTTTTCACAAATCTATCACAACCTTCTGATATTTCTTTTCTCATCTGTCAATGTTCTTTATTTACCAAGAGATATTACTGGTTTCGTTACTGATTTGTAAAAGTTTTTTATATACTTGTTTGTCATATTTACTAAGAAATATTTTACCCAATTGACTGCTTTGTCATTTGTTTCTGGCATGGGACAAAGTATAGTGAAGTGTGTCAGCCTTTAGCTTGCTGTAGAAAAAAGCCCAAATTAGTTAAACATTCACCAGTATTTTCTTTATTTCTAAAGGCTTAATGTTTTTCTCTTGTTTAAAAATGTATCTTAATATCTTATGTATTTTACTTAAACAATAAACACTTACATACAGCATACTGTATTCCAGCCTCTATGATAAGCTCTCATCATATGATAATTCAGTGAATGAAATACGAGAGGGGAAAATCTCTTGTTTCTCCCCAAAGAGCAAATTTCCTTATATTTATAATAAAGTCTGTCTCTTCTCCACACCTTTCACATTTCTATTTGCTTCAGATATACCTTTATATTTTTTTCAGTAAAGTCACAGGATTGCACTTAATGCTACTTTTTAATATAGTTTATATCTGAGAGAATAACTTTTTCCCATCATTTTAATTTTAAGAAATTCTTAGCCATTTTTACCTGCTTCCTCTTTTAGATGATCCTTGGACATTTTTTGTTAAGCTCCAGAATAAATTCCATTGTAATTCTGACTGGGAATTTGTTGCATCTACAAATTAATTGAGACATATTTACATCTTTACAATGCTAATGTGTCTCACTAGTCAATTTTCTGTCTCTCTAATTACACAAATCTTCCTAAAATCCTAAGCTGCTAAAGTTTTAGTTTGCTAATGAGCTCTCATTAACTCTAAGAATATATCAGTTGATGCTCATACTAACATTATATTCGTGTCATCTATAAATAGTGATAATTTTATCTCCTTGCCTTTAGGAATTATGCCCTATTTCTATGATTTTATGCAGTAGCCCTACTAGGTAGAAGGGTAGGGATGCTAACTACACATTTGGAAGAAATACAGTGAAAGACCCATGTTAAAAAGTATTATTTAACCAAAACCATATGTTATCAACATAGAATATCACCAGTAGGAATATAAAATTAATCTAAATCATTAATTATAATTATCATACAGACAGTACTGAACTCACCATGTTTCAACTTACTGTTGTTTGGCTTCACAATAACACAAAAGCAATACGCATTCAGCAGGAACTGTGCTTGGGATCTTGGATGTGGATGTTTTTCTGGGCTGGAGATGTGACCCATTCCTCTCTCTGGATACTGGGAAGGGGCAGGACCAAAGCTCCCCGTCAACCCTGAGGTCATGACGGGGAACAACTTCCCAGTGTTTTGGGGCCGGGGTGTTCCCTGAGTGAGGTGTGCTGACAGCACTTTCAGTTAACCATGTATTCCACCTATGATAGGTTTATCGGAATGTAAGTCCTTTGTTAACCAAAGGGCACCTCTACAAGTTTATCATTTTTAGTAGTCTCATTTTTAAAATTTGACAGTATGACGGAGGACTGGTAATTCTTCAGACCTCTTGGTCACAATATGCTTGCACATTCGTGACAGTATATGAATGCTCAGTTTCAATGTTGTGGGGAGGAGTTTAGCTCTGCCAGGATAGGCCCTGCCGATGAAAATGCTGCCAGCAAGCTCTCCTTCCTCTCTACAGTACCAAAGAAGGGAAAGGCATTTTGTTTCTTTGCTTGTTTATTTGTTGTTTTTCTGTTCTTGTGATTAAACCTTAGCCTTCACACTGAGCTACATCCCCAGACCATTTTTCATTTGTTTCTTTATTTTTTGAGTCAGGGTCTTGCTGAGTTACTAAACTACCAGGACTGGGCTTAAATTTACAACCCTCCTACTTCAGCCTCTCCGAGCGCTGGGATTACAGACCTGTGTCTCTTAAGCTCCCATCTTTGAAGATGTGGCCACTTACAGTGACGCAGTTTCAACCAAGATAAACTCACTGTCTACAGGTGTGTGCATTGCAGCAACAAAATGCTTTCTGAAAGCTTTCAGGATAGCAATTAAGATTTGATTTCTAACACTTTTCACGTTCAAAATGTCTTTATCATTTCATGAAAACATACTCTCAAACTTTGGATCTAGAAACGCTGCAGTAGAATGCAATCAGTTTTGAGGAAACCCGAGGAATCTCTGATTTTTCTCTCTGCAGTTCAGCTTTCACTTCCTGTATAGTAATTGTAGCCTTTTTTCCTAGAACAGAATGATAGAAGTGTTTTCATAGCAAGAATCATGTAAGAAATGTTAACACTCTTAAGACTCATCAATTTCATTATTTCTTCAACAGGTTCCAAGTAGTTCCAAACCAGTTTCTCTAGGAAAAAAAATGTTAGTGAGTAATACATCCTGCTAGACAAATACTTCTAGTGAGTAGTACTGAGCCTTTATTTTGTTCAGTAAGCCTAGCTGCTTTCTCACCTTTTTAAGACATTTCAAACCAGGCATAAAAGCTCTCATGGTTTAACTTCAATCAAAGAATAAGAATTAAAGAGTCCTGTGATCTTTCCCGGGTAGGTTAATTTTGTTAGCTTGGGCACCAAAAAGCAAATCCACCACGATGTCAAACTTAAAAGGATGTCTAGTAGGTTCTGCTTGTCCCAGTGACTAATATATAAGACACAGAATACATTTAATGCAAGTACATTAGTCAACTTTCTATATCTGTAGCAAGGATCTGAGATGGTCCACTTATAAAGAGAAAAGGTTACAGCTGGGCATGGTGGTAACTGCCTGTAATCCTAGCACTCTGGAAGCTGAGGCAGGAGGATTGCCATGGGTTTGAGGCCAGCCTGGCCTACATAGTGAGTTCTAGGCTAGCATGGGCTGTATAGGGAGACCTTATCTCAAAAAAACAGAGGGGTGGGGAGAGAGACAGGGAGAGAAGGTTTATTTTGGCCCAGGGTTTGGAGGTTCTGGTCGATGGTAACTTGGTCTTGCTGCTTTCAGGCCTGTGGCCAGAGAGTTCATCATGGCAGGGAGCATGTGGCAAAAGAAACATTCATCTCATGGTGGCCACAAAATGACAGGGAGAAACGAGAGTGGGTTCCATAATCCTCCCCAAGGACATGGTCACAGTGATCTGAGACCTCCCACCAGGCTTCACCACGCAGTTTCCAGCATTAACCTGGCTCCAGGGGCGGTGCACCAGGCCTTTAAAATATGGGCCTGTGTGGGACATTTCAACTCTAGCAACCAGATGCTTTTAATACATCAATAACTCTTTTAGGGCTGGGGGTGGAACCCAGGGCCTCGCTCATGCTGAGCACATACTCTGCCACTGAGATATACCTGGAGTCCTGAATAACTCTGTGTGCATATGAATTCAGGAAATATCTTTCAGTAATATGTACAGAAAAAAGAAACATTGTATGTGGGATTCATAGATGGTGAAAATCTGAATAATCATTCATCTTTAACTGCTGACAGCCTTTTCCAATTTGTAGTTATCATTTCAGCAAGACTTTCAGAAAATATGTAGCCTATGATGAGTCATAGATATGAAAAATTATCTTTGTAGTGTATTCTTGTTAAATCTGTTGTTTTGAAGTTAGCAACATCATATTAGAATCATCAAATGTATTTTTTTTTCAAATAGCAAATATTTCTTGGCACATTTTATGCATAATGATAACATTCCTCATAGGGAATTTGCACCTGTACATGGAACATCTGTCCCCTTTTTCCCATTTTTCCACTCTCCTCTCAAGGCACCTCCCCTCCCTATGCACAAAAGCTTTGTTTCCAATTTTTTCTTTCTGTGTTCACTTTTTTTTCTTGTCCCTTCCTTCCTTTCTCTCTTCTTCCTCCCATGTTTCCACACCCATTTGAACATTTTCTTCCCACTTCCCAATTTCTATTACATGTTTTACTCCTTATTTCCACTTTCAATTTCCTACACAGAGAAACAATGTGGTTTTTAAACATATGTGTCCAATTTATTTCACTTAAGTGTATGGTCTCAAGGTCCTCCCATTTAGCTATAAATGTCTCAAGCTTATCCTTCTTTATGGCAGAGTAATACTCCGTTGTATAAAAAACAACATCTTTTTTTATCCATTCATTGGTTGAGGGCATTTGGGCTGTTTCCAAGATTTAGCTATTACAAAGTGTGCTGCTATAAACATGGGTGTGCATATATCACTGTGGTATGATGCTTTTAAATCTTTCAGGAAGATGCCAAGAAAAGGAATGGCTGGGTCAAATGGAAACTCTAGTTTTAGATTTTTGAAAATCTCTATGTTGATGTCCACGGTGGTTGCACAGTCTATACTCTCACCGACAGTGGAGAAGGGTTCCTTTTTCCCCACAGCCCATCCAGCATTTCTTGTTGGTTTTCCTGATAGCAGCCCTTCTTTCTATAGTGAGATAGAATCTTAGCATTGTCTAAATTTGCATCTCACAAAAAGCCAGTGATGTGGAACACTTTTTTAAAAATTTGCCATTTCTAATTCTTCATCTAAGAAATGTCTTTTCATTTCAAATGCTCATTTTTACATTGCATCTTTAGATTTGGGGTGTCTAATTTTTTTAGTTCATTATATATTCTAGATTCTTTATTATTCTAGTCTTTTGCTTGATGAATAGCTGGTAAAAATTTTTTCCCATTCTCTTCACTCTGTTGATGGATTCTCTTGCTATGCAAAAGGGTTTCAATAAGATGAGGTCCCAGTTGTTCATTCGTCGTAGTATTTCCCCTGTGGTCTGGGCCTTGTTCATGAAGTCTCTGCCTACTTCTATGTCCTCAACCATTGTACCTCTTCTCTCGTCTAGCAGATTTAGTATTTCTGTCCTAATATTTAGATCTTTGATCCATTTTGATTTTAGGTTAATGCATGGTGAAAGAAATGGGACTGGTTTCTTTGGCATATGGTGACAGGACCCCCAAAGTTGGACCCCACCCAAGCTGATCTGCTACACAAGTCCACAGGAGCACAGAGAAAACAAAAAGCCAGCAGCCACCCTCCTTCTCTCACCACTGCCATGTTTATCAGCCAGGCCCAGGTCCGTCACCCATGGGACTCTAAAATTTTGTGACCCCCCCACCTAAAATGCCCCATATATAACCTTGAGCACCCTTTTCTCAGTGCTTAGACTTTGCTTGCCTTGATGGCCTCAAACATGCATCTGTCTGACCTTACATATGGAAAGTCAGGTATTTTTTATTTTTTGTTTTTTCTGCACTGAGGATCTAACTCAGGAGCTAGGGCTTGAGAGATTGGCATGGCATCACTGAGCTAAATCCCCAGCCCTGGAAAGTTAGTTTTTCCAGCACCATTTATTAAGGGGCTATCTTTCTTCCAGTGAAGGTCTTTGGCTCCTCTGTCAAAGATAAGGTAGCTGAGCATGTCTGGAGTTGTTTCTGAATCTTCTAGTCTGTTCCATTGATCCTCTCATCTGTTCTTTTGCCAGTACCACAGTGTTTTGTTTGTTGGTTGATTGTTATGGGAATGGAACTCGTGACCTTGCACTTGCATGGCAGGAACGGCGCCACTGAGCTGAATTCCTGGCCCAGTACCACGCTGTTTTTAATCACAGTAGCTTTGTAGTATAATTTTAGGTCAGGAGATTATGATGTATCTGCCTTGCCTTTGTTACCCAGAATTGCCTTTGCTACTCTACTTCTCTTCTGGATCCAAATGAATTTTAGGATTGCTTTTTCTAATGCTGTGAGATATGCTGTTAGAATTTTGATTAGGATTGAGTTGTCTGTATAACAATCTTGGAAGTATGGCCATTTTGCTACATTGGTTCTTCCTATCCAAGAATAAGGGATACCTTTTCATTTTGTGACATCCCATTCAATCTCCTTTTTCAGAGTACTGTAGGTTTCAATGTAGAGGTCTTTTACTCCCTTTGTTAGATTGCTTCCTAGGTTTTTCATTTCAGTGGATTTAGCAGGTATTTTTAATGAACAGAGCTAGATGTGGTAGCCATATGACTGTCATCCTCAACACTCTGGAGGCTGAGGCAAGGGGACCCCAAGTTCATAACCAACCTGGACAACTTAGTGAGAAACCATCTTGTCTCAAAGCAGGGGAACAGTTACCATCAGCAGGCTGGGGGCAGATGCTGTTGTCCAGCTCTCGAGATGGGGCTCATGCATACTCAGCGGCCTTGCAGGGACCAGGCTGAAGTTCAGGTCGGGTGGAGGGGAGGCTGCCCCAGTCTATATTTCTCCCCTGGGAGGTAGAATATGTCAAGCTGACTCAGTCACCAAGGCTCCTCACACCAGGCCACCAAGTTGCTCTCCAAATGTATTTTTTGGTCCTCATTTTTCTCTTATATTCTTTGTGCATTCTCTGCATTACCTCACTACAACTTACTGAGATTTTTGTTGTACATAATTTAACATGTCATTCCTCATGAAATCTCCAGTGGTGGTACCATCCTGTTTATAACACATCTTCACAGAATATGAAAATTCCAGAATGGTATTAAAATAATTTATGAGCAATATAATTTGTTTTTTTTCTCATTGGATCCATCGATTTAGTATGCTAACTTGTTTCTCTCATTAAATTATTCTTGAATTTCAGAAATAACCACATCTGGATGTGCCTGGCTGACTTAATAAAGTATATTTATTTATATTTGAATTGTAATTACTTTAAAGATTTCTGAAGCTATGTTCAAAGATAAAATTCAACTTTAAAATTTTGTGTTATTAATTCATTTATTCAAAGCAAAATAATTTCATGTCTATAAAATGAGTTTGATAGTTTTTGCCTTATTCTGTTCCATGGGAAAATTTATGGTAAAGAAATTATCTGCTCCTTGAACGTGGGAAAGCTATAATGCTGTCCAGATCAATATTTTTTTGAGATAATTATTTGAAAACTTTTTCAAAGTCTTCCAGAGTTATTGGTGTTTTCAGAATTCTTAATTATTAAGACATTTCTGGTCATTTATGTTTACCCAGGAAAATCTGCATTTTAAAAGTTTCTGTAGAACATAAGCATAACATCCTTGCTGTTTTCCTTTCTCATACCAAATTTTCATTGTACATGTGCTTTTTCTCTTAATTATATTTGCCACAGACTTATACACATTATTGTGTGCATGTTTCCTTTCAAGTAAATACTTTTTGCTTTCTGATTTATTATTTTGTTTTTACCTTGGGTTGAGTCCTTTTGTTGATTTCCTTTAGCTCATTTTATTTTATTCTCGCCTCTAAATTCTTAGATTAAACTCTTCCTTCATTAAAAGTATTTCTTAGTTAATGATAAAAATTTCTCCTGGGTAGATCGTTGTCCTGGGAGTATGGTCTACAGCTTTATGGGATTTGCAGTCGAGGTTGGATTGCACAACTATCAATAGGTCATGGTAATCATGTGGGAAAGCTCCTCCAATAGCAGAAGCCCAAGGGTGCACTGGAACATTTAAAATAAATCTTAACTGGGTTGAGTAAAGCAGGGAAGAGATATCTAAACTCAGAGTAGGAATTGGCCAGGCAAAGAGAAGGAAGGTGAGGCAAGGAACTCCTGAGGAAAACAGCCCCTGCTAGGACCCAGAGCGGGAAAGAGCCTGACCCAGGATTTGGGGAAGGAACACATTCACTGGCTAAGATGCAAAAAGCAATGAGAGATCAGAGTCTAAATCTAAATCTTTTTTCCTCTAGAAACAGCAATAAAATTTCCACAAGTAAGCACATCTACACATCGACAATGGTAAGAAGGCCAGGAATTTTTGAATAATGTAGGGAGAAAGAATCAAAATGAATCTATCCTGAAGACACCTGCTCTAAATCAATTGTCCTGTAAAACTTCTAGCTATTTTTACAATCAGCAATAGTGAAAAAGACAGAGACCTTGTTATTAGAGTGTCAATTCCCAGGTCAAATCTAATTAAAAAGGAGAAAAAAAAGTAAGCAAATAATAAATAAAACACCAAAAACTAGAATACCACCTTCATCTGACATTGGACATTGCCAAAAAACACCAGAAGTAACACTGTGTTACCTGAATGGTCTCTCTTGAGCACCATTTCCTATTACTGTGAAATTGCTGTCTCTTATGTACTTTTGAGGGACCTGACTCAATCTGAGCAGGTAGGTAGAAGTCCTCTTAAAATTTATTCATTTATTTTTAATTTTGTTTTTGTACTGGGGGTGGAGCTACATCTCCAGTCCTAAATTGCTAGGGCTGGACTCGAACTTGCAATCCTCGTGCCTCAGACTCCCAGAGTATTGACAACATCGGCCTGGACTACCGCAACCAGCAAGCTCTTTCTTCAAGTCAAACACTTTCATAAATTTCAATTTTATCTGTTCGTATTGATCTCTTTCACAGTATACAGTCGCACATTTATATGTATATAGGCATTTATTTGCACATACTCTGGAAAGCACAAAAGCTTGTTTCAGTTGGCGTTGCAGCCCACCTTGACCACTGGGAATTTCCTGTTTCACTCACAGGTGAGCTTCAGTCTTGCATATCTAGGAGAGAGCGAGGAGGAAAATATAAGCAGCCCTAAAATCAGTCCCGAGTGGGCCAGGGCCATGTAATCAGCAGTAGGAGTTTGCTTATCATAAATCTCAACGAAATGAACAATGGCACACCCACATATTTACCAAGCTTTGCAAGGAAGTATTGCAGCTTTCCCAGCTCTTGTCAAGTTTTTCAGTCCCTTTCCTTCACCAAAGGTGTCCAGTCATAGCAGGATGAGTGAAACCATCCTTACCATGTCCTGCTGCACTTGCTCACGACACATGAGCAGCTGTTTACAGAGCCACTGTGTCACTAGACTCGGTGAGCCATGCATTTGACTGGCACTGACCCAATCAACTTCATCTTGTCTCCAAGACAAAGAATCGACCTCCCTTAAATAGGGATTGTCATCTTACATTGCTCAAAGACATTTGCTGCTCCTCTCTGGAGATCTACTTTTCAGAAATCAACCAAAACTAAATACATGTTCATGCCAACCACTTGCTAGTCATTTCTCAATCCTTATAATGCACATCTTCAAAGTGCAAGGTTTTTAATCATTTTAGAAAGGAATTCTTAAGCACTGCTAAATAAACCAAATGAAATGTACACAGTATTTTATTCATAGACAAAATGAATGCTTTGTATTTCAGTTTAGTTCACAGTAACCCAGGCCCTTGCCACACCACATGTGGTCCACAGACCAGTGGCCCTGATTAGAGAAATGTTAGAACTCAGACTCTAAAACCATCCCCCAAATCCACTGGGTTAGAACTGATATCTTAACAAGCTCTGCCAGTGAGTTGTAGGGACATTTTCAAGAAAGAAGGCAATAGATTAAATTTGCCTTGTTAGTATCTAAGCGTTTTCAACTTTGTGCTAAATAATAAGAAGTATAGAACTGATCTTTCAAAAAAAATAAAGGGTGGAAGTTAAACCTGAAATATCAGAATTCAGTCTCCATACTTGATCTGTAATTCATTTTTTCACTCTCTTGAGCAGTCATTTCCCTCTGCATGTAAATTACAGTCCCCCCAGATATACCCAAGTAGCAAAAGCACTGATGAGTGTACAGTCACTCGATTAAAATGAGCTCCAGAGTACTGCTTTAATAAGCTTGATGCAATGGAAAGTCACAGGCCTTCATCATATGGTTGGCAGAAAATTATCACCTCCAGTGTAAAATGGACAAATAAGGCAGAAAATGCATATCGGCTTAGTGCGTGCTAATAAATAACTGTAATCTAAAGCGGGAGGCTCCGGTACTGCGTTCTAGTGTCTTTCCTACCCCAAAGTTGACAGTATTTTTCATCCCAAAGTGTCACACTTCTAAACTGAGACAGTAAAATGAGAAACATCAGGACCAAGAGATAAAAAATGAAAAGGTCAAAAGAATGGGAATTAACTCCAAAGTTTAGCCTCGACATTTACTTTGGCCTCAGATAGTAGAGTTACCAATGGAACCCGTTGTGTGTGCATGAGGGGACCTCCCCATGGCTCCTGGGAGAGGGACTTTTGAGCTGATTGATACTCTTGGCACAGAGGAACAACGTCTTTGCAGTTTCTAGGCAAATCTCTGTGTGAGAAAAAGGCTTTCCACCCAGGCAAGTTCTTTCAAATGCTAAGAAGTGATTGCATCTGGGCCCTGTGTATTCTTGCTGCGTCGCTGACCCTGAGATGTACACTGGGTGCAGAGGTGGGGTGTGGAGCTGAGCATTAATGCCGCCCTCTGCCCACCAGGTGGCTTGGCTGGAGGGCAGAAACACTCCATATGCACCTTCCATTGAAATCCTGTGCCAGCATGGCAAGAGCAAAGGGTGTGACAGAGATAACGCGGAAAAGATAAGGGCATTTTTAAGAGAACAGAACCCTGTGGTTAGGAAGAGTGGGGCGGGAAAAATTTTGCTCTTCTCCGCTCAGGGTGGAAGGAATATGTGTTTCCTTAACGATCTTCCTCTGCCTCTAGGAGGTAAAATATGGGTCACATAAATACCGCATTGTTGTGGCAATTCATTACTCACTGCTGACATGTAGAAAAGATTCTGTTACCTGTGAAAGGCTAGTAAACATGAATATAAGGTTTTTAAACTGCTACTTCAATAGGACAAGGGGATTGTCTTTCTCTTGTCTTGGACTTCCATCCATCTCCCACCCACATTCTCTTCCCCTTTAACACATTCTACCTCAATCTCCAAGTAACAACCAGTCTCACTTCCACTGGGCCAATAGCCAGAGCCTGAGACTATGGCTCCTCCCTGGTTCCAAAGGAAAAGGCAAAATGTGCTTGTGTACTTCAGAATGAGAGCCTCTGGAGGAAGATCCGGGGTGGAAGGCTCTGTAATGCAAGGGTGTTTCTGTAATCTGGAATTCTAAATTTAGCAAGTGGGGTGGCCCAGGTTTCATTTCTTCCATTGTTTTTCCACCTATCAGCAGAAACAGGAACTGGAAAAACTCACTGAAGTCAGGCTTTCCTTGCAGGTTTTCAGTTATTTGGAAACCTCCACACTAGAGATTTTCAAAGTTATATAACTTACTGGAATCTTCTCTTTTATATTAAAATGGAACATATTTGCTGAGGCTGACTGGCCGGGTGACCAAATGATGCTCTTGGTGATAAAGGCATTGAAGGAGGGCTATTCTGGTGCCTTCACCAATATCCCAGTGGTTGTTGGCCAGTCTGGTCATATTCTTCTGTTTCTTCACCTATAAAATGGACATGATATCAAGTCCTATGCAGACATATATAGAGGTATTAAAATAACAAAATATATGATAAATAGGGGGAAAGCAAGCTGCTGAAAACACATTCAAAGTGGGTTTTGTACTTATTTATTATAATTATTCCCACTCTTAACTTCTGGAATATTTTCAAGGGTAGACTGTTTTAAAAGATGCCTTGATACTTCTTTTTTTACAACCAATAGTTACTGGTAAGATATTTCTTCTGCACTGACCTACAACTCAGTTATCACCAACCTTTGTAAGATTTTGCTCTTGATTTATTTGTTCCTGGGGCAGGGGATGGAGGGAATAGGGGATGCAGAAATTAAGTAAAGGAATACATTGTCGTGTCTGTCATCATCCAGGTGATGGTAATGAGACTTCTAATTTAATATTAAAATATTCTATGTTAACAAATCTCAAAGGTGCAGTCAATAGTCTCCTGGGTTATCGTGGTCCTTATGCAAATCTAGAGATCAAGACTATTTTAAAATAACATATTAAAATGTTGTTTGCCTTTTTGCTCTGTGCTGATTTATGTAATAATTGTGCAACAGTAGGAGATGGTAAAATAGCTGTGTCCCCACTACCCATCAAGGCAAGGACTCAAAGTGTCAGTGATAGTCACTGTGTGCTCTCAGTGAAATAGGAAAAATGATTAACTTTAGCAAAACCATCACTTGCTGACATATATTTTTTCAGTCTTCTATAGATACAATGCACCTGTTGTATACTTAGCAAGAATACAATTGTTTTGCATTCAAATAGAAATGGCCTAGTTTCCCCATTGGATATTATGTTTTCTTAACAAGACAACTGGCAGCAAATTATTGCTATTTAGAGTCAGCTACTTGACAGACTTTTTTTTTTCTTGAGATTGAGTAAAGTCAGCTTGCTACTTAAGAAAAATGACAGACATTATTTGTTGCTAATGGTAAAATTTGAACTTTCAAGCATAACTTAGAATTTTGGAAAACTTGCATGAATGAATGTAAACTTAGCAGTTTCCCAATGCTTTAAAGAATTTTCTTCTGAGATCAATGATACTAAAAATATTATTTAAGCTGGGTATTTAGCTCAGTGGTTCTGGTGCCTGCCTCGCATATGCAAGGACCCGAGTTCAATCACTGGTACCAAAAAATAATAATAACGATAATTAATAAATATATATATGTGTGTATATATATATATATACACACAATTATTTTCAAAATTTGTATAACCAATATTTGGAATACCCAATATTCGTTCTGTGTATCCATGCTTTCCAAATGATCAATGCATTATATGACAAAATAATAATATTAGTGCAAAAGATCCATTAAAAAGTATAATTGATTTCATTAAAATCTTGTTATTTTGTTTAATGTGCTGTGTACTACCATTTAAACAAATACATATTTTAATATTTTAATTTTATTTTCAAATGTAGTAAATATAACCCACATAAACAAAGCACTGTGTGATTTTCAAATACTTTTAAGAGTATAAGGGAATTCTAAGATGAAAATCTTTCAGACCCAAAGGCCCAGTATATATTTTGTAAAGGGATAACATTCCTAACATAATAGGGAGCATTAAGTAGCTGAATGCTTTCTTATTAAGAGAGAACAAAATGATATCCTTATAGATTAGTTTCTATCTGGCAAAAGCCTTTGTAAAGAGATTTACAAAGACCTTTGTAAAGACCTATATTCAACTGAGGATGTTATATTACAGTGAACTGGATCTGAATTATTATATTCATTTGCTTAACAAATAAGTTGAGTTTCTACTAATTGCCCAGCACTGTGTTAGGTTCTTTGGGATACAAATAAGGCTTGCATTCAAGGAACTCATAGTTTGTAAAACCAACAGAAAATGAAATTCTTCTCACACTCTGCCTATGTCTGTCCTCATTCAGAAAATACACAGTGTTCACCTCAGCAAGGCAGTGGTATAGATGTAAGGTTGACAGACACAGGGCCTGTTCTCCTTCTTGGAGCTCAGTGTCTCTCATCAGAGATAGAAACAGCCATAAAAAAGACGGCATCAGCATGACTGCAAGTGCCCTGCAGGAGAAGCACAGAGCTCTTAGAGAGGACCTGAACTTGAACTAGAGGGCAGAAACAGTGTTCTCAAGATGATAATAGTTCATCAAGAGCATTCCAACAAGAAGACATGATATATCAGACCATAAAGAGGCTGGAGAAACAGGAAGTCAGTGTGGCCCAAGTGTGGACAGAGGCAGACAGAGCCAGGACAAGCTGTCGAGGGGAGCAGAGTGTCAGGGTCACCTAGCTAGTGAGGAGCGAGGTTGAGATTCAAACACGGATCGGCCTCATTCTAGTCTGTTTAGCTAGCACCTCATTAATTCTTCCTAAAAAATAAACTACAGTCCAGTGCCTACAAAATGCCATATGCTATGGGATACATTTTACAGCACATGTGCTAATGTCACAAGAACTCTGTGAGGTAGGTTGCATAAGTCACCATATTATAGATGCAATGACCAAGGCTCAGAAAGATCAAATGATGATCAAGCTATAGAGCACAAAAGTAGAAGAGGCAGAGTTGGAACCAAAGTAGCATGACTTCAAAGCTCGCACATCTTCCTTTCCTTGTGCTAACTCCTAGTCTACATAATTACTCACAGGCAGACCTAGTAGTCACAGCCAGGTCTGACTTAGGCAAAGCTCTTCACTTTTCTGCATGACTGGTCGCATTCCCTGGATTTGAAGTCACCTTGGCCAAGTCTGGACATAAGATCGACCCCCTATTGAACAATGCCTCCAGAACTCCTATTAGAAAATGCAGGTTTCCAGAAAGCCCTTGAGACAGATGGACAAAGGAGGCCTAGACTGCTTCCTGAGTCTCACCTGACATTTCAGGGTCAACTTTGCAGCAAAGGCAAATATGCTGTTGAGGAAATTCTTTCAAACCTAAATATTTCTCTTCCTCATTCCAGCTAAATTGCACTAATGCGTAGTCACCTAATGGGTTGCGGTCTAACTTCCTTCTCTCAAGCCTTTTATGGAACAGCAGTAAAGCCTGGAGCAGCCCGTCTTTACACAGCAAATGAGTGACTGCTTCAAGAGAAAATTCCCACCACCACAGCTTTGCTCTCCTGGGCCTATTGAGTTTACATTTGCATTGGACATATATGTGGATACAATTTGCAAAAGTTGCTTAAGATAAAGTACCTGCTAGAGAATGCAAGAGAGTAGAAACAATGATCAAGTGTTTGAAAAAGTCTTACTCATCTGGTTGTCTGCTATGAAAATGAGTAAGAGGAGAAACAAACTGGAATTAATTCTAAACTATATTTCACTTCTGAAGGAAATAAGTGAACAATTAATATGCATGTTCTACTTAATTATGCTACAGGGAGCAGCCTCATCATGTGAAAACAGAACCATGCTCCAGGGCAAATTATCTATTTACCTATCTATCTATCTATCTATCTACCATCTATCGTCCATCTATCATCCATCTATGTATTTATTTTGATGGTAATGGGGATTGAACCCAGACCCTCCACACTGAGCTACATCCCCAGCCCATTTTTTAATTTTCTATTTTGAGATAAGGTCTCACTAAATCATAAAGTTGCCCAGGCTGGGCTGAAACTTGTTATCCTCCTGCCTCAGGCTCACAGAGTACTGGACATAATTTTTGTAAAGCAAATGTCGGCCCTGTAGAAACTATGCTGTACCAAAGCCTCTCTCCTTTTCTGCCCTGGAGCTGTCTCTCCCACCATAATCTCCAAATTTCTTGCTTATAAAAGTATACCCTAAGTTTTCCATGTTTAAAATATCTGCCTAGAGCCCCTGAGATTCAGTTCAGCTGAGAGTGATAGAAAATCCAGTCCCCTAAAATTCATGCATCAGACTATAAATTCAAGGTTTGTGGGTAATATTTGGTGGTTTTCATTAAGCTTGAGTGTGGCTACCCATGGTCTAGGGGTAGAGGGGCTATAAAGCCTTCCAGGATCTGATACAGCACACCCAGGAGTACGATCATAACAGGGTAAACCACAGATAAACATTTCTCATATTCCTAAGAAAACGGTAAGAATCACATCATAGTCACTTTTCCTCAAAATTGATCATATCCCCATGGGCCGAAAGCAAGGAAAAAGTGTTTGGCTTTCTGATATACCCACACTCAGCTTGCTAGGAAAGTTGTCTTTGTTGACTGTTATCTTGGCCCTGGCCCTCCCCCGCTGATCTATTTCCTTGTCCATTATGTTCTAGAACATTAGCCTTTCTTGAAAGTGTCAGAGCTCTTCCAGCCTTCCTGCCGATGCTGGTTGGGGAAAGAGAATGGCCAAAATTTTCATAGGCCAGGTTTGTGGTCTTCGTCAATACAAAACTGAGGGGTGCTTGCCCTATTTGATCTTGATCAATCCTGCTTGTCAGCAGGCACAAAGATCTTATCTGAACACAATGCTTATGTCTGATAATTGTTTTATATTACTTTGTAATCTCAACCTAAACTCCCTTTATCATATTGCCTCAATCATTTTCAACCGAAAATTTCCTCTGTGTGATTCAAGATGCATCACTTAAGCCACAAAATTTGGATTGTTGGTGGCAGGAAGTAGTATGGAACCAGTAAGTAGTATGGAACAAGCAGGAAGTCATATGGAACCAGAAGACAGATTACCCCAGACTCCTAAATGCACACCCTAGTGGCTTCTGCACAGCACTTTCTGCTTAAGCTGCTGTCATATCTACCTGAGAAGGGGGCCAAGGAAGCACAGTTTCTAGGTGATTATGATTAAGGCTGAGTCAGATGCTTTGTTACAGGGGAACATGAACATTTGTAGATCAATAACACCCTATTAAACTGTACATTACATTTGCATTTTAAATGGATTTCAACATATGAACAATTACTATGGAAAGATTAGTGAATACGTCAGCCAGAAAGGAACAAACAGCATTGGGGCAGTATTCTGAAAGAGCTGAAGGGATATTACTCACCTCCTTCACTCACTCTAGGGCCAAACTTGTAATAGAACCTAGAAGTGTGTTCTGCAGCCAACACATGAGGCTTACCGGATGCTGGGGACTGGGTATTCACAGGCCTTGCCATTACCTGTCTAGTTGACATACACGGAAGAAGTTTATAGGATAGAATTTTATACCAGACACCAAAAGATCATTTGAGCATGGCTAAGTCCACCTAATTTATGTAATGTCTATACATTTTCATATAACCGGCACTAGCACTGAATATATTTGTATATCCATCTAGAAATAATATAGAATATAGGTCTTGCATAATTTCTAAGTCATTGTCATGAGCAATTGGGACACCTTGGGAGCCAAAGGAAAGGACTCATTACACATCCTATCTGGTCTTACCTATTCTTTCATGTTTCTCTTTGTGATGGTGTGGGAATGTCCTTCAAGGGTTCATGTGTTGGAAGTGTGGTCATCAGTGCGGTGATGCTGAGAGATGGTGGAACCTGGTGTAAAGTGGTTAGGTTACTGGGGCCACTGCCAATGGAAAAGATTAAAGTAGTTTTGTGGGAACCTGCTTAGTTTCTAGAAGAGTGGGCTGTTATATAAGAAGAAGACTTGTCCCCTTACCCTCTCTGGCTTCCTCCATCACCATGTGATCTCTCTCAAATGGATTCCCAACATGATGCCATCTGTCATGAAATCTTTACCAGAAGCCAAGCAAGTGAAGCTGCCCAGTTTTGGAATTTCAGTCTACGAAGTGATGTGCTCTTTTCTTGATACACAACTCAAGTTCAGATATCTTGTTGCAGTAATGGAAAATGGATCATTACAGTCTATAAATTTGTTTCTGTGGTTATAAGGGTGATGTCCTCTTGTCAAGGCTGCCAAACTGAAATAGAAGAATTATCAGTTTCTCTTCTTTTAAGAGCTACATGTCCCTGCTTTAACCACAGCTGCATCGACTGCAGTTCTGGGGGGTTTGGTTGGCTTTCCTTCTGTAAGGACACCCAGTGCTCTGAGGGTTGTCCTGGTTAGCCCTGGAGGAGGTTTCTCTCTGTGCATCTTCTCTGACAAATACTCTCCTGACAAACTTCCTCACGGCGAGGTCACTGAGTTTGTGGTACTTTGTGTTTCACATAGCTGAGCATCCTTCTTGAGTGGGAGCTGAGTGGGTGGACTTCTTTTCATTCCAGGGGACATGGGCTTTGTGAAATAATGCTACTCTGACATGGACTGGTGTTGTCACACTGCAAATGTACTGCTATCACCCAAAAGCAGAAGGAGGATACCCCCAAGCCCACACTGCCATCAAAATCAAATCACAAGGAAACAGAATCATGGACTTAATTTGACTTCCTACAGTACTTTGGTACTTTTAAAGACCAGACGTTGATTTTGATTCATAATCCTTGGAGCACTTGAGAATCACTCATCCCTAAGAAAAGCAGTCCGGTGTTACAAAGAACTCTGGAGTAGCGACAATTGTGTGTACCAAGTGTAAAAGTAGATGAAGTACTCTTCAAATAGAGCTCTGAAGCCACAGAATAACAGTGTCAGCAGATCACCATCACAGGGGAAAGACACCATGGCTCAGTCCTGTAGCAGATACTACAAGGAGAGACTCTAGATGTTCCATGCCCTTGTTCTACATAAAAATCAGAGTCTCCTTCACTGGATGTCACTCACAAATTCTCAAACACAGCTACATGCTCTTCTGTACGAGCATGTATTTATCTACATTGTCTATAATTTTGTAAGATTTCTTATTCTTTCTTCCGTGTTGAATATTACTTCCTCAGGATTGTAGCCTACCTCAAAATACCTTTATATTCTTTAGGGATAAAAGGTTTTATTCTGAAGGGCTGTGGATTCAGCTCAGTGGTTCCACTGCCTGCCTTGTAAGTGCAACACCATGAGTTCAATCCCTGGTACAAAAAAAAAACAACCAAAAAGAAGATTTTATTCTGAGATAAGTGGGGATAATGTTATCCAATTTTGTTTCAGTTAAGAAATACTATTCTAATCAATAAACACACCTGGAAAGATATTAGCACTCACCTAAGATAGGAGTTATATAGTAAAGCATTCAAAATTTTGCCAGTTGTCCCCCATTCAACCTTTCTATCAGAAAATTTAGGAAAAATATATATTAAGCCTAACTTTTAAAAAGAGAATAAGAATTTTTATTATTAAGTGATTGACATCAAAACTATTCATTAACTGGAAGGTATTATATGATGTAAATTCAAATTTATTCTAATATTAACTTAAAAATCTACAAAGTAAAAAAAAAACTCTTCCTTCTACTTGTAGCTAAGGAGTAAGTTTAATTCATATGGAATGATCAGAGATTCTTTACTATTCAATGTGAAATTAGCTAAGAAAAATTCAGTAATCTCAGAGAAATAATACATTTCACAATACTGATAGACCCATTTTTTGTGTGTGAAATCCTGGTTTCAGGAACAACAACAATATAGTGAAACAATCCTTTGAAAGTCTGCTGACAAGACCAGCATTAAGATTATCTCTGTTGGGTTCCATGTTTCTTGGTCCTAGGGAAGCCAGTTTGTTTGTAACAAAAATCTGGGTAATGACAGTGCTGTAGAACATCACTGTCCAATGTGGAACCACAAGTGCCTATTTAAATTTAAAATTAAATACATGAAAATTAAGTAAAATTACGCAGTTTGCTCATCAGACTCACTAGCCCCATTTCAAATCTTCAGACACCACCCTGGCTGGTGCAGAGCAAACAAGAGTTCAGTGTTATGGAGAGAGTTCTATTGGAGAACTCTAGTCTACTACTGGTGTCTACTGTAATATATAGATTATCTGTTAAGAGAAGAGCTCACCGGATTCAAAGTGAGAAATTGAGGAAGGAAACAGAATGGGAGAGGCTCTGAAATAAAAAGCATGTTCTTGGTGTTACATGCTAACCCCAAGGAAAAACAAAACATAGTGGGGCTTCCTCTTTAAATATTACTTTAAAATACTTTTATCATTTCTTTTGATGTATGGAAAGGAGGTAGGGAGTCTTGAACTGCATGAATGTATCTCCTTGGAGAAAACAGAAATCAGGGCACATTCCCCCAAGTCATTGTTACTAGGAAATGTTATCAAACATCGCTCTCTGTGTGTGTGCAAGTCATTGTGTTACCTAAATTAGCAGCAGATTCAGTTGAAAACAGAAAGGAAGTATGGGCAGAACAGACTTTCTAAGGAAACAGAGACATCGGAGTTTCCTGATTCACATTTTCCACACAGTTGCATAGTGTGCTTCCCTTTAATGAAACCCAACCTCCTTCTCAACAAATGAGAAATTAGAGACACAGACGCAAAGAAGGGACTAACCCAAGGAGGCCTGAGTATCACTGGAGTAGGACCAGGGCAAAGTCTCCCTTCCAATATTACTTTACTTCTTTTACTGCTACTTACATTCTGGTCAAAGAGATATTCTAACCCTCCTTTTCAAACAACCTATATATGATTAAATAATTACTTTTAAAAGAATATAGAAGGCATTGTAATTGTCCTACAGAATATTTGTGAAATATCTCTTTTTGGTTTTGTTTTCTCATGAAATTACTTAGGGCCTGGCCCATCGCTCTCTGGCTTATCCTAAAAACCAAAAATTATTCCCTAACCCCTGGCTGCCTCACAAAGGGGATGGGCATCAAGGAAGTGGCCACCTCCTAGTCCCCACCTTCATGCCTAGTGCAACCTTAAAAAACAGGTCACTTCCAGCATTCCAAGTAAATTCCAGTAGGATTGCAGGAGCTGTGAGTTAGGGTGGAGCTCAGATCCAGAACCCCCTGGGAAGCCAGAAGTGAACCTTGTTCTGGGCCTTGATCTTGGGGTCAGCAAAGCCAGGCTCATGTGTGATTGGACCACTAAGTGTCCTCAGCCTCAGTTTGCTCCCGTACAAAGTTGAAATCATAAGACTTAAGTGTTGAAAAGACTCTTGAAAGGATTAAAGTGGTTACATCATGTGACTCACATTGCACATTAATGTCAGAAATGTGCAACTCGGGCCCAGGAAAAGATGAATCACTATTAACGGACCCAAGAGGCCCAAGAAGTGGCAGAAAGACACCTTGGGGGTCTCTGGCTTCCCATCAGCCGCTTGGGTCTCCGTTTCCAGATCCTTGCTTCTCTTCTGCCAGCTGAGGGAGCATTTCCAGTTTCCACGCTCACGTTTTGCCGTGTTAATAAAGGCATCACACCACAAGGTGGTGCTTTATTCTAAAGTTTGATATCAGGAAGCTTTTTCCAACTGCAAAAAGTGAGTAGCAGGAGAGTGCAATCAGCATCACAAGCAAGTGCCAGCTTCTCGACTCTGATACAAATACCTGGGAGGGGGGTGGGGGGGTAGGACCTCCTGCCCTCTCTGACTAACACAGGAGAAGCATAAGTCACAGAAGGAGTTTCCCGGGCAGGAGGGTGGTCAGGGCCTCCACAAAGCCACAGCCCTTATTCAGTTCCTTTTACCAGAGCATGATATAAGCCCCCGCCTGTCACACCTACTCTTGCCCTGTGTGGTTTTTCTCCAATTTCTGCATTCTTCAGTCTCCTAGGAGAGGGCAGTTCCCAGAGGAGCACAAACAGGGTGTCCTGCAAACTTTGGCCCAAAGTGATGAGGAGTCCACTTCACCTTTGTAGCGCAGTGACTGACTGTGGGACTCTGTACATAGCACAAGCCTATCGCTCTTAACTTGCAGCATGCCAAAATGGGTGCCACTGGGTGTCACTGAAGTGGCATCACAATGACACCACCAGCTCCATGCATAGCCATGGGTTCCCCACCTTCATCTGACTGCAGATTGAAAATATTTTTCAAAAACTGCATCTCTTCTGAACACAGACTTTTCTTGTCAGCCTCCCTAAACAATACAGTACAATTTTTTCCTACTGTTTTCCTTGCATTGGGTATAATAAATACAGAAATGACTGAAGGCATGTGGAGGATATGTGTAAGTTCCATGCAAACATTCCACCATTTTATAAAAGGGACTTGAGGGTCTGTGGATTTGGGTATCTGCAGGGTCCTGGAACCAATCCACCTCTGGTACCAAGGGATGAGTATAGTAGCAATAATACTGTCTTCGATTAGTACAGTAAAAAGACTTTGCAGCCAATTTGCAGCCATTGTTAAGAAGCAGTGTAGACCATCAGCCCTGAGTCCCATCCTGCCTCAGGCACTAACTGGCCTGTGACTTTTGGCAATGCCATGAATTCTGCTTATTTATAAATAATGGAGAGGGAAGGCGGGGAGACCAATGGTTTCCAAGGTCCTCTCTAATACTGGCACTCTGGAGGTTGGTCTTGTCTTCCTCGGAAGAGTTTCTGCATTGGTGAAACTCTTGGCTATTATGGAGGATGGAAGGGGTTCCGGGGGATTCCAGATTTATAATTTAAAAAAATGATTGAGGCCCAGAGAAAGACAAGACAAAGACCAAATTGGAAGGGTGATGTTTGAAGGCAGAAAATAAAGAAAGAGAGAGCTACAAAGGACTCAGGTCCTGCAATGCAGGATAACTCTTAAGGCAAATCAAGGGTTGTCTTTTGTTAGAAACAGCCACTGTGAAGAGAAAAAGAGGCCTTCCCAAATCTGTCAGATATTCTGTGGATCCAACCAAAGGATTAGCGTCCAGTTTGTTTTCTAGCCAATGATCCTACGATAACAGCTTTCTAAAGGCTTGTGTAGACTTTCCTTCAGCAAGTTCTCTGACCTTTTAATCCTTCTGACAGCAACCTGCCCCTCTTCCCACTAATGAGAGCAGAGAGAAAGAGAAGAAAGAGTACAGCCGTCTTTCCAAGAACACTCTGTTGATGTGTCATTGCTCAGAAGTCTGCACCCAAAAACCTTTCATCAACGAATAACTGAAAAATCCTCTGTCTGACTCACAATAGCTGTGGTTAATAAACTACACTGTGGATTCTTATCTTACAATGCTTTCCTTTAGTCTATTAATCTGTCGAATGAAAGAATCGATTAGGACTCACTCCACGTTAATAGACAACAATTTCATTTTAATTAAGAAAATCATAAATTTTTCTTCGAATCATGAAAGATGAGCTTCACAATGCCGGGTTGCTGGGCTCTGGACAAATAGAAGCCATTGCTGTATTCCACAAGTTGCTGAATTTGGAGGAGGGTCGGATTTGTCCTGAGGAAATGCTCTGACTCAGCTTCTTTGAATTTTATGGGCACTCTGGTTGTGTCACTTGGGAATCGCATGACCCCTATTGATTTGATTCTGGACATGTTATAATCTTATGAAAAAAAGAAACTCCATAACTAAGAACAGACAGAGCTGGGTATACCAGTCCAAGCCTGTAATCCTGGCATTCTGGGAGCATGAGGCAGGAGGATGGCAAGTTCGAGTTCAGCCTGGGAAACTTTGCAAGACTCTGTCTCAAAATAAAAATAAAAAATAAAACAGGGCTGGGGAAGAATAGCTCAGAATAAAGGCGCTGGGCTCTATGCCCAGTACCACAAAAGTGTTTAAAATAATAATAATATAAACAGATTTTCCACCTGGTGATCAAGTCAGATATATGTACTGGTAGATGCTATAATCATGTACCAGAAGTATTTTTTTCGCCTACTGGGGATAGAACTCAGGACCCTGCACTTGCAAGATAGGCACCGGTGCCACTGAGCTAAATCCCCAGCCCTCAGAAGTTTTATATTTATCTTGTACTATATACTTATAGGTTACTTGCTAAAGGGTTATGTAAAAATGTGAAGAAATCTCTCTTGGGAAGAGGTTTCACACTTCTTTTATTTTACCCAAATGTTAAGGAGTTCTTTATGGTTTTAAGCTCATGGGTTTTTGTTGTTGCTGCTCCTCGTGTCATTCTTCTTGTTTTGAAATGTATTTGACAAAATAAATACGTTTACTTTGGAATTTCTGACAATAGTGTTTAAGTCTGTGTTTTAAAAATCACTAGTGTGTGATTTAATGCCCATTCCTCACCAAATACATCAAATTTATACAAGAGATAAAAGCTTACCAAGAAGGTGTCACCATTTGTGTTTATCTTAAATAGCATCTGTGAGTAAAAGTAAAGGAATAAGTCAAACAAGAAAACTATTGTAAGAAAGAAAGGTCAAGATTACTTTAAATTTCACCCATTTCCTTTCTACTTAATAAAATACTTTTATACTAAACCTATAACTCTACAGATAACCATATGTTTTCTTTGGAATGGTTATCTAAGAAGCCCCAGAAATATTTTCACTTTGCTTCTATATACAGGACGGCTCTGGATGTGTCTAGAAGTCAATTTGTAGTTAAGTCCTAGTAGAAAAAAAAAAAAGAAATTTAAAAAGTCAAACTGGAATAAAAAATACATATGGGAGTAACAATAAAATGTGTATCGAACAGATTTTACTGCATATTACTTTCTTCTTCCATCAGTTCTCAGATTTTTTTTTTATTTCTTTAAATCGGTGCTTTTATCCTTCTTGGTTAACGATGGATTTGACTTTAAAGGAGTCAAGTTGGAGTTTTGATGGGTCATTGGACCTTACAATTCAAATACCAAGGAAAGAGTATAGCTCCCAGTAGGCCTTGTGTAAGCAGGGCTCACGCCCAGACCCAGCAGGAGCTCAGCACTGCAGTGAAGGCTGAAGAGCCAGGGTTGGATGGCTGAGAACCCACAGCCAACTTGGGGCCGCTTAATCTCGTGGCCTGTTGTCTGACAATAAATCTATTTTTATGAAAATATAATCACACATGTTATTGAGGCTTGCATATTAGAGCAAGTCATTTTTCACAAAAGGGAGCTACAGACAGATTGCTAGAGACACAAGGAATTATGTGCTGTACCTTAGGCCAGTTGACTAGTGCTTTGGTTCTGTGCCTTGGGAAAATCATTTTCAAAACACTCCTATGTCTCCAAGAATCTTTCATCCTTTCCTTTTACCATCTGCAGCAAACTCTACTACTTAAGAAAAAGGAACCGATATAGTCGATTTTCATTATTCACGTATTCTGTTATTTGCCAATTTGCCTACTTGCTAAAATGTGTTTATAATCTTCATATCCACACTCGACACTTTCAGAGTGATTCGTGGGCACACACAGAATGGTGAAAAAATTTGAACTATTAACATGCATGTACGCAGAAAGGACAAGGTGACATTCTGTCCTACATCCTCTGTTGTACTTCATGTCCTTGTCCTTTTTGTCCTCTATTTCATGCCATGTTTGTCACATTTTTGTGCCTTACTTTGATAAATTTACTGTTTGAAATGATCCCCAACTATAGTGTCGAAGTGTTGCTTAATGTCCCTATCTGAGTTACTTTTCTTATTGTTGAGACAAAATACCTGACACTCCAAGTTTAAAAAGGAAAGATTTATTTTAGCTCAGTTTGTAGAGGTTTCAGTCCATAATCGGCTGGCTCCAAGATAGAGAGGCAGGGCAGACAGGGATCACAGGAGAAACAGCTCATGGCAAGCACAAGGTAGCAAAACAAGCGACAAAACACCAACACCAGCCCTTTCTGTCCCTTATCCAGGCTACTCACCCTTAGGGCTGGTCTTACTCACACTCTTAATCCTAACATCGCAGCATGAATCAATCCCAGCATCACATCCTTGGTCCCAGCATCACACAGCCTACATCCAGCCACCTCTGAAAAGCCCCACCAATGATCATATGAGGATTTAAGGGGACATCTACACACAAGCTATGACTTTCTGCCCTGGACCCTTAAAGACTCATGTACATCTCTTTAAGAAAAAGGCATTTAGTTCCCAAAGTCCTCTATCCATTTCAGTATTGCTGAAAAGTCTAAGTCCAAAGTCTCCTCTGAGAGTTGAGGCCAACTATTAGCTGTGAGCCCCTGTGAAAATGAAAAGTAAGTTAAACACTTCCAACATAAACTGGGACAAGATAAACATTACTATTTCAAAAGGTACAAATGGGGGATACAAAGGAATAGGACCAAAGCAACTCTAAAATCCAGCAGGAAAAACATTAAGACTTGTAGTTCCATGTCCAGCATGCAAGGCAATCTATGTCGAGATGTGAACTCCAAAGCACCTGGATGGCTCCACCTCTGTGCCACTGCAGGTGGTCATAGCTCCCATGGCTTACTCTGGGGTTGGCTTTGCTCCCGCCTTGCAGTTTCTTCAGATGATTGACATTCCTGGCTTATCAAAACTCCTGGGGCCTCCCATGTACTTTCTGCTTCACACTTACAGCTTCACACACTGCCCTATCAAGGGCACACTGCCGAGTCCCACACTTTCTTCTGAATTCTGGGTGGAAGCCTTCCTGACCCCACAACTCTTGCATTCAGCATGTGCATAAAACCAGCACCACCTGGATGACACCAAGGTCCCCTGCCAGTTGGAGCAGTAACCAGGCTTTCTTCTCTTTTGACTATGGGGGTCCAGTGCCTATGAACTAAATTACAAGGGAACAATGTCCCTAGGCCACTGCTATTCTGGAATGTGGTTCTCTGGGGCTAACTTCTCATAGCAAAGTCTCTCACTTTTGTAATTTTCAGGATGCAAAGGGTGGAGTCCTGCTGGTTCTTATGAGGTCATCAGGCTATCTTGTCCATTGACCTCTTCCTCCTCAGCAGTCACGATCTCCTCTGCTCTATCTTTGCAGTCCACGGCTTTACTGGAGATTCCTTTCTAGCCAAACTCACAATTTGTAAAACATTCTACTGGGCTCTTTGCTCTTGATTCTCAACATAGATTTAGCTAAAGGCTTCCAACAGCAGCCATGCCACAGCCTCAACATTAGACTGTCTTAAAACTTTTTCTGAACAATTAATTAGTCTTTAATCTCAGTTTCAGGCAAAGTCTCTGGACACAAGCAAAATGCAGATAAACTTTCTGCCAAAGTATAACACACATGTTCTGGAGTCCCACAACCAATGAAGTCTTTCTTCCCAACAGAAACCCCTACAGCCTGGTCTTTACCAGCAGCATTTCTATCAGCATTGTTCTTTTGAGCTTGGACAAGAGTCTCCCATCAAGAACAGCCTAAGGCGTTCCAGGGCTGCTTCTTCATTCAGCACCTCTAAAACTTTCCAAGGTCTTCCCATAAGTCAGTCCCAAAGGCTCCTGAATCACACAGTCAGGTACAGTCACAACAATGACCCTACTTCTCTGGTACCAGATTCTGTCTTTGTTACTCTTCTAACTGCTGAGACAAAATCTCTGACATCCAAAGTTAAAGGAGGAAAGGTTTATTTAGCTCGTATGTAGAGGTCTCAGTACACAGTCAGCTGGCTCCAAGACAGGGTGCCATGGCAGAGGGGCATAGCAGAAGACAAGCAGCAGCAGCAGCAGCAGCAATAAGCAACAAGCCACAACCACAGCACTTTCTGTCCCTTACAGGCAGGTAGGACTCACACCCTTAATCCTAGCACGGCACTGTGAATCAGTCACATCCTTGATCCCAGCAGCTCAAACCTTAGATCCAGCCACCTTGGAAAAGCCCCACCTATGATTGCATGAGGCTTTGGGGGGACATCTAGACACAAGCCCTAATAGTCCCTAAGTACAAAGTTGTGCATGAAGTGCCTTACAGAAAAATCCAACTTTGTTCCCACATGAGTTATAGTGCTATTGGCTAGGAGTTCAAAGTCAGTGAATCAACACAACCTATTACATAAGGTGTCTTTCAACAGAAACACATAAGACAGGGTTATGTATGTGTTGACTGGCTGATGAAAATGTTGTGAACAGAGGCTCACAGTAATCCGATGCTGTATCTCCCCTGGGATTAGCACAGTTCAGTATTCAACAACTCTGTGTTCTCAGCAAACTTACAGAATATGGCAATTATATGAATGACAAAAACAGTAGGAACCTCAAGAATAATGAGAATCATAACTACCATTGGTAGCACTTCTATTTCTGAAAAATCATATCCCTTCTTTTAGGAGTAGTTTGGAGAAGAGAAATGAGTATTTTAAAACAGAGAAAATAGGGTGAAGAATAAAAGGGACTGGGTTGTGTTGAGTTCAAAGACAAGCAGAGTTGGTCTCCCAGATATGATTGTGTCTGAGCTTGGGGGAATATTTTACTAATTAGAATAATGAAATGTGGGAACATAGAGTTTCCTTCCCTAGAAAGCACCAAGAAAATAAGAGACAATGGTCATTAATTTGCACAATCACTCACCTGAACTTGAAAGTTCCAAAACAGACACTCAGAGTGGCTTTTTACGGTTCTGGGACCATATGAATGGCCCCTATCTGCCAGGGATCCTGCTAAGTTGAGAGGCAAGGTCTATGATAATGGAATGTTTTCCCCAGGACGGGATTAAGTAGTCTGAGTAACTCATGCAGGTATTAAAGTTAAACCTAATGGCCATGTTCTTTTCTTTTTTTATTGGCTTTTTGGAACAGGGTCTTACTGTGTAGTTCAGACTGGCCTTGAACTCATGGTGATCCTCCCACCTCAGCCTCCCAAATGCTGGGCTTATAGGCGTGCTCACCCAGTTCCCATTGGCCATGTACTGACAAATATTTTCCAGACTATATATTTTTTTCAAAGTAAAGTGTGTTGGGTTTTATTTTACTAGTGTGTGTATGCCTCAGGAGTAAGGAGAAAGATTAGGGTGTGTATGTGTGTGTGTATGTGTGTGTGTATGCATGTGCATGTGTGTGTAAAAATCATAAGTTGTCTTTTCTACATTCGTTATTCAATTTTTTGTAAGAATCTGCCATTCTGCCTGTGGTCTTTGCTCAGTAGTGCAAGTGTGTTGGAGTTGAAATCCCACAGAAGTGGATTGAAGCTATGTGGTCTTAGGTAAGTCACTTAGCCTCCTGCCTTCCGCTCTGCCTCTGGAAAACACATTACCTCACCTTCCTCATGAGGTGGTTGAGCTTGTCCTGCTTCTAGGTCCTGCCTCTGTTGTGCCTCCTTCCGAACCCACCCTCCTCACACTAAACGGCAAATCCATTGGCATGGGGACTGTGTATCTTCATTGCCTGCTGCACCATAAGCCCCAGTGCCCAGTGTGGCAGTGATCCTGTCCCCAGAGCTCGTCTGTTGGGTACACTTCTGCCAGAATTATTCCAGGGTGACAATTCTTCAGAAGGGCATCACTGCCAACAGAGTGAAGTTCAAACTCCTTAGGGCGCCATCAAAGCCGTTGGTGAGTCAGTTGGCTACTGCTTAGCAAGGTACCCAGCCCTCAGCAGCCTCCCTCCTCCCACCACGGAGGGTAATGGCCGTGGCTGTGTGGGTGGAGGAGGGACCAGGGTCAGGCTGAACCTGCCCCCGTGAACAAAGGAGAGATTCCGTCCTCCTGGAAAAGATTTTGTTCTGCTTAGCTGGCCCAGACTGAGCACAGTTTTGCAATTTATCTGCCTGCGATGACACCATTTTCTCATTTGTACAAAGACCCATGGACAGAGCAACGACTCCAGGTCTGCAGTGCAGTTTACTTCCCAGACCTGCAGGATACACCAATCCCTCTCATCCCTGGGCCTTGACCGTTGCTCTTTCCTTGCCTAGCTATTCAGTTTTCCCCCTTAGCATCCCGCTGGAGCATCATTTCTTCCCCAGCCTCTTCTTACTGCCAGGACAGACAACAGCAGCTCAGCACCCACGCTTGCTTTTCCTCTAGTGGTCATCATCTACTTGGTCAGTTACATGCAGAGAGATCACAGATGATCCTTGATATACAATGAGGTTGCGGCCTAATACACCCCTCATAAATTAGAAATGCAAGGCCAAAGTGCATTCAAGCCACCGCACCTCCCAGCTTCGCGACACAGTGCACTGTAGAGGGTCGGCTGTTTCCTCTGATGCTGCTAGGTTGGAGTCTGACACATAACACTGTGTAGGGGGAAGGAGGCCTCAGACAAACTTTGCTGCACACACTCACACACAAAGTGTGAATTTAATAGCAAGGAGCCTAGAGGATGCAGAAGATATATAAAACTGGACTAACAGGGCCTTGCTTTACAGATTGTTTTCTAATTGCCTGAGTTCTTGTCTCTCTCCATACTCGGCTATAGACTTCTTGAATTCTAAATCCCATTTTTTTTTCCTGAGTTGCAGTCCCAGAGCTGAACACAATAGACTTCATATGCATGCAATCAATTATTAATATCACCATCTTGGAAGCCGTTTCTACAGGGCTACACATTTGCTTGGGATAAAACAATCTTTGGAGAACCACAGTACACAATTTTCATTTGTCCCTGAATAAACAGAAAATTCTGGAGAGCAAGTTTGGGAAAAAATCTTGCAGTGCTCAGGGCATTGCTTTGAGAGTATCTGCCCTCTCCCCATTTCTCCCACTTTCCCAGAGGGCAGAGCAACCCTTGCCCCAGGCCTGGAGCACTTTTCCTTTTCCAAAGCTCCTGTGACTGGCGTGTCACCATTTATTTCTTGCCCAAAGCTCATTCATACCAATGTGCCTGTCACCTGTCCCGAGAAGCTGGGACAGCTTCTTTTCAATGTCTAGCATGAAAGCTGTGTCTGCAAAAGGAATTTCAGGCCATTAAAAGAAGTTAAAGGGAAACTGAGACGCAGGGCCCAGCTTTGCTGTGTGTGTTCAGTTCCTGCAGGACTATTGGTATTGTTGTACGACAAAACTTACACCTGTCTCATAAATTCTTTTGCGTTACTCAAATACTACTGCAAAATAATGTTTTTATTTAAATTTTCATTTGAATTTTTAGTTGACAAATCTTAATTGTATTTTTATGGGTACAGCGTGATGTTTTGATAAATGTGTATCTTGTAGCAAGCCTAATTCAGCAAACGGGTGAACTTATTACTTTACTTATTTTCTAATATTTTTGTGATAACTTTTAAAATCTCCTCTTTCAGTTTGGCAAGAGGAATCTTTAGAGCTCTATTTGATTCCTTGGTGACTACAGTTAATAATAATTTATTAAATATTGCAAAGTGTTAAGAGTACACTTTAAACATTCTCATTATATGAAAAAAGTAATCAAATCTTTAAATGAAAAAAACATTTGGCCCTAAAGGCAAACTTGGTTTAATCATGTTAAGGTCAAAGTATTTTAGCAGGATTAGAAATTCTGATTTAAAGGTACTACAGAATAGGGGGGTTCATTTCTTGCCATCTTTCTCAACTGCTCCCTCGCTTTCCAAACCCTTCCCTCGCTCTCCCACTCCCAGGACTCCCGGACCCCAGCGTCCGTGCCAGCTGCCTGTTCTGTGTCCCTCTTTATGCCCTGAATCTCACCTTCAGTCCTGCGGCTGTACTTCCGCTTTAGGGCGGGGTGGGGGGTGTAAAGCAGAGAGGACCCAGATCAGGATGGGGTGGGAGGGGTGTGTGCGCATGCGCGCTGCGGGGAAAACAACGGACGCAATGGGAGGACGTGAGCAGATAGATACCAGGATCCTCTGCTCTGGGCCACGGTGAAGAATTTTCCAAGACTAGGGATCCCCTGGTACTCTTGAAATGGAAATGAGAGTGGAGTGATGCCTGTGACGACAGACGCTTCCGAAGTTAATAACGGCGCTGGACATTGGTGCCAGTAATAGATACAGAGGCACAACAGATGGAGAGGAGGAAGGATATGCTTTTATCTGTGCCCATCGTGTGCCACATAAAATGAACTGTGATTGTGTTGGACTACAGCTAGAATTTCATACCTAGTCATGTAACATAAATACCCACACACCGCCAAAGTAGACATGATCAAACAAGGCAGCAATACGTTTGTTTTGGCCAGAACCAGACTTTGTATAAGGACAATAGGAGCAGAGAAATAGAATTACCAACCGCCATTTTGTCTTGTTGCCTGAGGTGATGATCTTCCTAGGTGGATTTTCTGAAGTGGATCGTTTCTACACCTTCTATCCCCTCAGCTCCCATCCCTTCCTCTCCAGTTATTATACTGGTAAGAGTAAGGCAGCCAGGAACAACTCCAAATAATGGTAACTTCAGAGAGCATAGCCATTAGCAGTCCTTTCACATAAAGGGAAAACCCAAGCAGCTGCAGGGGGTAGAAATGGGGGGGACAAGCTGAGAAAACACTTTAGTATTGTCAGTATTTGAGGGAAAACAGCCCAGAAGAAAAGAAGCCTACAATAATCAAAAGGCTGTAGTCTGTAAAAAATATATTTTTTTCAAATATAAGAAAGGGGTCATGCATTTATAAAAATGTGTACATAAAAATAAAACATAAAAAACAGCTAATTCATTCTTGCAAATACAATACTAACCTTAGCCCTTCTTGAAACTCCTCAAAATGTTTGCTCAAATGATATGCTGCAGTCCATTTACTCTTCAGCCCGTGTTTCCTGAGAGCTGACTGTGCTGGACATTGTTGGGCAATCAACCACGCTGTGGTGGGCTTCTGCCCTCAGGGACCTGGGAGACGCCCTGGAGAGTGTGAGGCCACCTCTTTGCTGAAAAGACCCATGTGGCTACAGCAGCATCCCAGAGTATCATGGGCCCCCTTTGGAGGTACAGGAAAGTCTCAGGGACATCTGCCCTAAGGAAAAATTATATTTCTTAAAAAACACAAGCATTATGTTTAGGACTATCATCCTGTTTAGTAACAGTTGGAATTCATGTTCCTTAGTCTTTCTACTTTTCCTAGCTTGACCATCACTGCCAGGTGAGTCAAATAAGTTGAAAAGTCATTGTAAATAATTGGCTCTGGCTTCTTAGACACAGCTGGAGTCTTAAATATCAAATATGGGACAAGGCTTAACTCTCTCCCAACTTTATATTCAGTGCCTAAGTTGTTTTCCTGTACACCTCCTTCCCACTCAGTGAATTCAGAGCTCCAGACGTGTGCTGTTCCTGCGCTGAGTGGACAGAGCATAGAGGTTAGACGGAGGTAGCGGAGAATGAGTGAACGTGTAAATGACGATGTAATTACAGCTGGTGGTGAGTGTTGCTTCGGGTCTCAGAGTTTTTACTTACAGACTACAGGATCCTCTCTAGACAGTTTAAGTAGAAACAAATTGTGTCAGTTTTCCACCACTGCAACAAAATATTTGAGATTGATTGACATCTTAAAAGGAGGAAATGTTTATTTTGACAGAGCTTTCTGTCCATAGCAGGCAGCACAGTGGGGGAAATGGCTCACTTCATGGAGGCTGGAAGCAAAGAGGAGGAAGGGACAAGGTTCCAAAGTCTCCCTCACATCGCACAACCTGGATCTCATTTCCTTCCATTGGACCACACACCTCTGAAAGGTTGCCCCCGACCCCAGTAGTGCCATCAACTGGCGACACAGTCTTTGAGACAGGATGCTTTGAGGGAGCTGAAGATCCCAGCCATAGCGCAGCTTCGTTAAGAATGTAGTTAGCCTCCTGCTCTAAAGAGACTTAAAGAAACAACCTCTGAACCCAGATTCCGAGGCCCACACTCTGTGCTGCAGAACTAGACACGGAGAAGTATCTGCCTTTGCCAAGGTGCACATCACATGTCCTCTGCCAAGATTCCAGACAATCCAACAAAATCCTCCCACCTCCCACAGAGAGGCCTCTTGGGCAGAAGCTCAACTGTTTCCAGAGCACAACTGCAAGGTAGCCTGGGGAAGGCAGTTTAAGGCTCACCCCCACCTTCTGAAAGAGATTGGACCTCACATGGAGGGAGCCCAAAACTTAGCTACAGCTGCCCTGGGAAAGTGCAGGGAACTACAGAGAGACTCAAATGAGGCATCTGCTTTAGACTGAGTAGCGCAGAAGGAAGTAACTGAGGACATTCTTAGCAAATGATTTTAAAGTCATTGCAGAGGGCTGAAAATAGAAATAACCTGTATGTGCAAAGGCCCTGAGGTGGGATTTGGCAATGACAACAAACAAGAAAGTAAAGGAGGATATGTGGGGGAAACGTAGCGTAAAGCCTGACAAACCTCGGAGATGGGGAGGCACCTATTGTGCATAGCTTAGTAGGGCTGAGGTAGGAATTTGTTCTTTATTGACCTACAGGGGAAACCTTTGAGGAACCTAAAGTAGAGTGTACAATTGTACCTTCACTAATGCACACCAGACTAAATATGCTGTACATTGTTAGTGCTCTCTTCCAGTATGAAAAGAAATATTTGACTAACAGGGGCTTAGATAAGATCATTTTCACTTAAGAAGAAGCCAAGGAAGAGGCTGTGCCAGGTTTCTCCAGCCACTCAGCAATGTCTGGGCCCTGGTCAGCTTCTGCACGTCCTTGCAGTTGTTCCCACACGATCACAATGTTGTAAGTACAGCACCAACCATCGTGTGCTTCCTCCACAGAAGGAGGGAACAAGATACTATGTCCTTGGAGATCAGGGATAGAAAAAGTATTTTCCAGAAGCTGTCCAGTTCCTTTGCACGGCACTAGGCCCGTGTCCCTGCTGGGTTGCCAAATGCACCAGGAACCTTTGTCTCTGACATGTTCAGATTGTGCAGCAGGAGGCAAGACAGGGTGAGGGAGTGGCTTTTCACAGGAGCCACGGGAGATGCCAAGGCTGGGTTTTATTACAGCAGTAAACTGTGCACACGTTTGTGTCACCCACACAGAGTGAACATGGGGCTGGATGCAAACCAGGGCAAGACTGACATTTGCCTAGACTTGCTGGCTGGGGAGCAGTCTAAACTCCCTAAGGCAGAGGACAGGGTGGCCAAAATAAATCCACGCTTGTGTAAATCATTCTTTCCCTGTGCAATCGTGCTACCAGGTAACTTCGTGCGCAAGTTTATCCGAAAGCACACTGGTGGGGGTGATGAGACCCTAAGGGCCGCGTGTTTGTCGTGCCTACCCTGCGCTCGCAATCAGGCGGAAGCCTGTCAGGGCTCACCAAGTCCCCCTGGGGACCCGTAGACAGGTCTCCTTAGTCTCCATGGATTGCCACTCGGCGCTCTGCACACAGGCGGACGTGCCCACTGTCCTTTCCTGCTCCTGCACGAAAGGTCCAGCAGAAGAGGATCCTGCCTGGACAGTGGTAGTCTTCGCAGCTGAGGATGCTGAAGGTGAATCATTGCTCTTCGTTAGGCTCGGAACTGCATTTTAACCTCCTCATCTAGCTCCATTCTTTCATCATCTCAGAACAGTCCCGAATTCCTCCTTCTCCCAGGGGGGCCTAACTCATATTTTCCAGTTATTGTTGTTTGCACAAAAGAGAGGGAGGCCAGCATCCCCCAGATATATGTTGTTCTCTGTTTCTTTCTAGGGCTCTTGGAAATATGCTAATGACCCTGCTGCCAGACTCCAGCATGAGGAGCAATTTGGAACTCGGCCCTCTTGCCCACTGTGATGGAGTGGTAAATATTCATCTGCCTCTTTTGTTCTCGTTAGACTTTCCATAATGTGTTCCCGAGTCCCTCTCCCAGGCCCGGGGCTCTGGCTGCTCGCCATATGGGAAGGCAGGGCTTGCAGCTGTCTCTGGGTGAGGCAGTGCGACTCAGACTGGACCTGTTGTAAACCCTGCAGTTGGAGGTGTGGAGAGAAGAGAGGAGACAGGAGGAGCAGTGAGGAGAGAGAAGGGCGTCACTAAAACCCATCAGCTCCATCCAAGACACGTGGTAGATGATCTTGGTGTTAATGATGCAAAATAAGCATCAGCTGCCCTGCTCCCTGGCCTGCAATTAGAATCTTCAGGTGTAAGACCCAACCTCTGATTCTGAAGGCCAAGAGGATACTGCAGTGAGGGGAGGAGGAGAGAAAGAGAAACTGCAAAAGGAGTAGAGAAGAAGAAAGATAGCAGGGAGATAACAGAGTTGGAAGAAAATAGCAGGTTCATTGCTATAAGAAGTGAGGAGACAAAATCACTTAGGAGAAGGACTAGACCAGATCCAGAAATCTCCTTGAACCATACATTAGGGTGCCTGCTGACGTTCAGACCCCAGATGCTGGAAATAGAGGGACAAATAAGGACGGTATCGCTGCTCTCTCCACGCAGATGCTAATCCTATCAAGGGGGGTGACAAATAAACAAGTACATAAATCTATCGCACAGCCTGGGAACTAAGGGTTATTGAAGGAAACTGAATCCAGGTGAAGAGAGAGAGAGTGGCAGGGAGGTGGCCAGAGGCAAAGCTGTCCCTAGAGAGATGGTATTTGAGGACAAACTCAAGGAGATGAGAGAGCAATGGACCCAACGGCCTGAGCACTCCAGCCAGGGAGGACCGAGAGGGCGTCTCGAGGTGGGAACAGCCTGTGAATGGGAGCGGAGAAGGAAGGTGAGGGGCGGAGAAGAAAGGGACTCAGCCCAGGAAGCACAGAGGAGACCATTTAGAGGGCAGGAAGGAAAAGAGGATGCAAGAAAGGAGACTGAGAAGCCACAGTGTTGGGGTTGGGGAAGAGAACAACCTAGACAGGTCTGCGACGTAGGGATGGAGTTGGGAAGGCCATGTAGCCAGGTTCAGTGTTATAGGTAATGTCTTGCTGCACGGCAGATAGATGAGTGCCGTATTATTCTTTACACTTTTTTGAATGTATGAAATATTCCATGATGTATTTGTGCTGATTAAAATAATAATGACACCGTGGAGATTCAAAAATAGGGATCAAAATGTATAATTGATAGTGTGAAATAGGAAGACAAGATATAAAGGAGTAGGGGAAGTGGCAGGGGTAGGGGAAAGAAAAGAAGGGAAAAGAAAACATAAGAAAAGGAAAAAAATGGAAACAAAGTCTTTGTAAATAGGGGATGGTGGAGGAGATGAAGGGAGTGCAGGAGAATGGGGGAAAAATAAGAACCAAGATACATCATGTAAAAGTACATAAGATCCCAATGATGAATGTAAGTGTACTGTATACCTAAAATGTACGAATAAACTTAATGGAAAAAAAAAACTAGGTGTTGCACACATATCTGTATACATATAATGTGTTTATATCACATACATCTCTGTGTAAATAAATAACTTTCTATGCATGGGTTCTTTAAGTGTAACAAATCTATACCGTAAAGACTATAGCATCTGGAAATCGGTCAAGAGGAAAGGATACAAAGAACTCTTGGAAGAAAGGAGAGTACAGAAGCCTTGAAGATAGTCTGGGAATCTTCTCCTGAGATAATAAAATGGGCTTTTCAATGAGATGCTTTAGACATACCTCTAAGGATGTGTGTGTGTGTGTGTGTGTGTGTGTGTGTAATATCTATACATATGTATAGCCATACATCATGTGAGGTATTCATTTATTAGACATTATTTAAAGAGCAAAATAAAAGATGATTGGAAACAGGGAGACAGAATGGAGTTTGGAAACAGTTCTGAGAATGGGAACAGGAGGAAGTGAGGGAAAGGGGAAGGAAAAAGGATCAAGATACAAATATGAATATGATTATATATAAAAATATGCATGAATAAGAAAATTTTAAAGACTTTTTCAGAATTCCTAAACATTGGCGAAAATAAATGCTGGGTTACTACTCTAGAAGGAAAATTTTTAGAGAGAAAGGTCTGTTCGAGAAAAGCCACATCCAAATTCAGGAGCTATTTACTCATTTTTTTTTTTCTAAAGAAAGACTGACAAGGAACTTCATCTGAATATGTAATGAGATTTCAATTAAGTTGTATTTAATCAGTCTTCCCAGTATTTGTCTGTAATTTACAAAGATGGATCATTTCCCCCTTCAAATTATTCAATTCAGCCCCCAGACTTTGTCTTCAGCTCACGGGAAGGCAGAAAGGATGGGCGAACGGGAGATACAGAGGCAGCAGTTTCACACCTGTGAGTGCTTTCAAATCACAGCTTCATTAGATTTCTTTTTCTTTTTCTTCCAAAACATACTGGTGGTATTTATGTTTTCTGTCTTATAATTGACCTTAACAACTATAAACTATTTCAATGACGCTGAAATAGCTAATAAATAATAATTGCAAAGCCCAAAAGCGATGCCGTTGAAACATAACGTATCCAGGGAATTCTCTGCTTCAAAACCATACCAGCTAATCGAAAGCCACCTCTTATCTTGATGACATGGTAAGAAAGGTATGAAGCATTTGGACCATAGCCTAATGTACTTTTTATTTTCTTCTCCTAATGTACTTTTTAATCCAGTCATTGGATTTCATTTCTGCACTTTCTACTCTGCAGATGATTTTATCCCTTCCTTCCCAGGTCCCCTAAGGCAAGAACTGTGTTTCACTCTGCTAGAAGCCCAATCTTTGGTAAATACCAGTTGCCATTTATCATAATCTCCTTTTTGAAAAGACAAGCTGTTCTCTGTCCTGAATCAAGGTTTTTTTACAGGCTTTATCACCAACTGCTGCTCAGCTCTCAATGTATTCCTTAACCTCTCTACTTCCCACACTTTCACAGCATACAAGAAAGAGGAAAACATCAGTATTTTTAAACCAAAATATTCATGTGGTGGTTAAAAATTAGGTTAACATTACCTCATGCATTCAAAATGTATCTAAATCTATCCATTCAAAATGCATGAGGCAATTACATCTGATATAATATATTGTCTATATGCACATTTGATGAATCCATACCTGAAAAGCACTTAGTATCTGGCACACATTGATCAAATCACATTAATTATTATTATTAATATATTACTTCAAGTCTTTTCTATGTCTCTAGTAACTGCTGTCTTCCTTGCACAGTTCTACTGCTGGACATATATCAGTGAACGAAACAGAGAAAAGTCTCTTCTTTCATGGACCTTGCATTCTGATGGGAAGATCTGCTGATTAAATAAATACTTTACATACAAAGATTGGAGGCTAAGAGCACTGTAGAGAAAAAAATCAAGTAATAAAGGATCATAAAGACTATGGGGGTGGGAAGAGGTGGCTGGTTTGTAATTCTGAATAAGGTGGCCAGCGAACAAAGGCATGGCAGAGGGAGGAGAAGGATCTAAGAAGGGGAGTGGAGGAAGTATGTTGTAGGCAGAGGTGGGACAGTGTATGAGAAACAGCCAGGAGTTCGGGGTGGCTGCAGATAAGGGGACATGGGGACAAATTCTTCTGTATTCTCTGAACCCAAGGATTGAACACCGCCAATACTCACTGCCACTGTTTGTTTGTGCCGCCATATTGAATGCCATAGACTACAGGGCTCAACCACCTGAGACATATTTCCTCATAATTCTAGAGGCTAGGAGTCCACAGTCAAGATGGGGGCAAGGTCTGTTTCTCCTGAGGCCTCTCTCCTTGGCTTTTGAATGTCTGTCTTCTCTAAAATCACTTGTTCTTCCCTCTGTGTTGACTATTTCCCAATAGAAGGACACCAGTAAGACTGAATTAGGACCCACACTCATTACTTCGATTTATTTTAATTACCTTTTAAAGACTGTCTCTAAATATAAGCACTCTCTGAGGTGCTGTGGTTAGGAATTCAACTTATACATTTCAGATGGACTCAGCCCATAATATCCATATTAATGTCCTCTGGTCACACATACTGTGGTGAAATCCTCTTACAACAAGGCTTCCTTCCTAATGCAAGGATCTGGTTATGAGATTTTACTGCCTCCCTTCCCATTTAAGGGTACTACCTAAGAGCACACATTTTTTGACTCTCTCGAGCGTAGAAACATTCCCAGTTTTCTTAAGAGGAGAAGTTTGGGATTCTAAATTGACTATATGCAGTGAAGACATAACAACCTTTTTGGAAAGGTTAGGAAAACACAGAGGCAACCAAAGAAAGAAAAGAATGTCATCATAAGGCAAAGCAGCTACCTGACAATGTCCTGATTTCTCTATTTTTGTGACTAATGCTAAAAAGGAAAAAAAATGGAGGAGAGAGAGAGAAATGCTGCTGCATGAATAATCTCAAATTCCACACCTTGTATGGCCTCTCCCATGACTTTGTCAAGAGCATCCTCTTTAGCAGAAAGATTGATTTTCTTCCGTGTCAATGGATCCAGCAGAGCTATTGTTAGAGATCGCATCTAACCATTGTTTGTAGACCTTCCACTGGTTTCAGGGTGTCTTTTGATCTAATCAAGAGCTTTAAGCCAATCTTAAGAGGTACTGAAATTTCAATTCTTATTGGGCCCACCTGGGTTTAGCCACCTAGTTCTCTTTTGTTTTAATGCTGCTTTGACTCTTTCCCCTAACCTCAACCCTACACAATATAAGGCCTCAGAGAAAGCCAAATTAAAAAGAAAAAAAAATTATAAGTTTGTAAACCAAGTCTATTTCCCTCCTAAATTTTGCCCCAACCATGAGGATGTGCATACATCTTTATAACCCGCACTAGCACCTCTGCATTCTGGTGTTTCACCCCTTCTTGTCCAGCATGACCTTGAGCTTTCTGTGCCTCAGTTAATTCATCTGAGATAGAGAGAGAGAGAGAGAGAGAGAGAGAGAGAGAGAGATGTATACTTCTGAAGGAGCTTTAGAAAGTTAAGAAAGAAAAAAAACAAAGAAAGTTAAGAAAGAGTAATATCTTTTAAAAAATTAAAAAGAATACAAAGATCCATAAGTACTTAGGATAGTGACTGGTTCCTGGCAAGCAATATATAAAGTTCTATTGTCTGTGTTATTATCTTTTTCCAGGAAATTGCTCAAAAGCAGTAAGGAATATAGTGCTGTTAAACATTCATCTAAATTAATGGAAAGTGTAAATCAAGAACTAGCAAAAATAAATGCTGCTTCTCTGAAATATCATCATTAATGAAGAACTGACAAATAATTATTACGAACTTTCTTCTCTCAGGTAATCAACAGTCATTTCTTAAAAGATAAATTGTATTCTTTTTAAAATTTGGGAGGGAGGAGCATAGCCTCAGGAAGTAGTTCAAAAAATGGTTTAATGAGTGACAGAGTTGAATTAAATCAAGGACTTCACTGGATCATAAATATCCCCCATGGCCTGTGTGTTGACAGCTTGGTCCCCAGCCTAGGCACTATTGAGAGGTGACGGAACCTTTAGGAAGTGAGGCCTGATGGAAAGAAGTTAGGACCTTGAAGGGGATATTGGGACTTCAGCCTTTTCTTGTATCTCTCTTTGCTTCCATCACTTACTTTTGCTCCATTTTCTGCTTTATCCCAAGCAATGGAGCTAATCAACCATGGACTACCACTTCTGAAACCAGGAGCAAAATAAATCCTTCCACTACTTAAACTGATTATCATAGATATTTTTTCATAGTGATGAAAATTACCAAACAAATCCATGATCCTTAAATCTGCATTCTTGATTGCAAGGTAGTTATGAGGTTGTTGAACAACCTATAAGACCTCTACCAGTGGCCCCAGCAGCGTCTGAGGATATGTCACAGCAGGAACAGAGAAATTTACCAAGAACTGTAGGAATTCAGTGGAAATTATGCATCCTTAGTCTATAATTAAGATAGAGAGTTTAAAGTATCCAGGGGAAGAAATCAAGGTTGAGGGAAAAATGTTAAGTGTGATGATGAAAATTATATTTATTGAGCATTCGTATTCCACTACACTGCACGAACAATAAAAAATAAATAACAACAGCCTTGACATGGTCTCTGTAGGAAAGTTAAATGTGGCTGAACCCATCCTCAGCAGGCACAGGACCTTTCCATAAGGATGCTACAGAAGTCATTTGCTGGAATTAAGATCTCAGGCTGAAATGAAACTACACCACAGGCAATCAGAAGAAGGTGCTTTACCAGGCTTCCAGGTGCCAGCAATCTCTGCTCATTAGCAATGATTTGTGACTTACTTAAAAAGTCAGCAGAATCAGAACAGATTTTTTTAAAAAAAAATTCTTCTGATACTTTGATGTGACGCTTTTTTCCATAAGATCCAATTTCTTCACATTTTACTTGATCGATGTTGGCAACCCCCTAGGTGTATTAACAGGTGCTGTTGACAGGTTAGTTATAGGAGGAAATTAGCTCACATCAGAGATGTTGGAATTCGCTCCCACTGGCAATCACCTTTCATTGTAAATAGCTCATGCACCTTCCCACCCACACCTCGGCCAAAGAGTGTGGGCAACACTTGAGCTGCCCACAGTGCAGCCTCTTATGTCAAGCAAAGTCTAATGCTGTGTCTTCACTAAAAATTTGGCAAGAACTGGTTTGAGTGCATAAAATATTGAAAATAATGTGGACAAAGCATATTCACGTCCTAGGCCCGCCATAACTACCACAAACTGGGTGGCTTGGGAAACACACATTTATTCTCTCACAGCTCCAGAGACTGGCAGTCCAAAGTCAATGTGTGGGCAGGATTGTGCTCCCACCAAAAATTCCAGGGAAGGACTTGTTCTAGGCTGCTCTCTTGGAGCAGGATTGCTTGGCTGGAGACAGCATAAGTCCAACCTTTATGTGATGTTTTCTGTGTATGTGTGTGTGACTGCATCCATATTTTCCCTTTGCAGAAAGACACAAGTCCCATCGGATTGGGACATACCCTGATGACCTCATGTTGATTCCATTACCTCTGTAGAAGCCTATCTCCATGTAAAGTCACATCATGAGGTACGTGGTATTAAGACTTCAACACCTGAGTGTGGGGGGAGTTATAATTCGGCCCATAGCACCCTTTAATGATATCTCCAGCAGCCAAAACTGCAAAGGGAAAGAAGCAGGTACCATGTTGTATAATAAATATGTAGGCATCAGGATCATCCAGATATGGATATAAATTCCAACTTGGTCACCTGTGGCCTTAGCAGAGTCTCTTTACAGATTGCTGAATGGTAGGGCATAATTAAGTAGTAAATTTTAAATGATACCTTTGAAATGCATTTATTTTACTAAGCGAATATTACTTTAAAATATTAATTCATACAATATTTATACCAACCTTAGGGGGAAGGTACAGCTGTAACACAGAAAGCACACACATCAAGTAATTTACTAGTCATACAACCAGGAGGAAGAAGAGGATGATTCCAGAATAGCAGCCTGGCCAAGACTTAACTACCACATCATGCAGTAAATTCTGTCCTGCACACCTTCACTCCAGATTTTGCAGTGGCTTTGCACCTGGCTCAGAGGGGGAGCGAAAGTCCTCAGCACAGAGACAAGTCTGTAGAGGATGTCAGCTTATGTGGCTTCATCTCCTATTACTTCCCCCTCACCTCCTCTGCTCCAGCCCAACTACAGCTCTTGAACATGCAAGAAATCTCAGCCGCAGGACTTTGCCTTTGCTGTTCCCGCTGCCTGTAACGCTTCTACAGTTTCCATACAGCCTGTTCCAGCTATTAGCTCAAAAAACACTCACTTCTCCACCTGGCCACTTCTGTACACCTTACAGAATTTCCTTTTCTCCCTGTCACTCATTGCTGTCTGCCTCAAGTATCCTTATTGTTGTCTGCATGCAAGTCGCTCTTCTTCTTCCATCCTCATCAGAAGCTTCGTGAGGTCTATGAACTATACAAGCATAACACATGGCTCATGAGCTTCATGAGTGTTTGAACATTATTAACTGCTTAGCACACGCACAATAAATATTTGCAAAAAAGCAACATAAATTAGTGAATTAGATGACTGCTACTAAGCCTGGTCTATAGGTCATGCTCCATGAAAAATGAATGCAACTGTTTAAAACACAGAAACCAGAATTAATGGAAAGTAGAACGGAAATGAGTGGTGAAAAAAGTAACCTCAGGTGGGGGATTTTTTTTTTTCTTACTGTTTAGGAGGATGCACCGGGTGGAACTCACCATGCTTTGGGCTATTCGAATTGTACTTGAGTAGAAGGTTTGGTATAGAAAAAGTACTCAGCGGATGGGGGTTGAGGAAAGGATTAAGAGAGGAGAGAAGAAAGAACGGGGAAGGGGAGCTGGGGAATGGATGTGGTTTTTCCCCTCCAAGTTCGTGCCCCGGAAGCTTGGTCCTCCATGCATCCACGTCAAGGCGGGTGCTGAGACCTTGAGGGAGCTGATTAGACGATGGGGCCCCATCTTTGGAAGGGATGAGAATGCCTGTCATATGGGCGTGGCTAGATTGGTTACTGGATGGGTGAGTATAACACAAGGTCACCTCTTGTGCTTGGTCCCTTCTTCACCCAGTTGCTTCTCCTTCCATTTCTTCACCACACCACGAAGCAGCCAGCAGGCCCTTCCCAGAAGCTGGTGCAATGGCACTGTCTGACCTTGGTTTTTTCATTCTTTATAAAGTTCCCAGCCTCAGGTATTCTGTTACAGCTATGTGAAATGCACTAAGAAGGTGAAGGTCAGCCTTCCTGGAGGAAGAAAGGCAAGAGAGAACATTCGATCACCTATTCTGTGCAGGGTGAGGACCTACAAAAGTGCTGGAAACATAAGATCAAAATCCAGGCTAGGCCTGAGAGGCACTGCCTGGCAGCCAGACAGTGCCCCATAGATGCTGCACTATGACAAATCCATGTTGTCTGCACAGCACTGTTCTGTGAATGCCTCCACTCTTCATTTAGGAGTGGAAGGGATTGCATCTGAAGCCCCAAACTCCACATCTGAACCCACAGTTTTACCAAGACTACCAGCATGTCCCCCTTAGACATGGGGGACTTTCTGAGACATTCTCTGTCCTTAGTGATGCGGAGCCTGGTGTCAATTCATTTTCTCACCGCCTCGTGAAAACCTAAGGTTTATTTTCTGACAGACTTGTTTATCTCTTTTTTGCTGTTCTCAGCAAAGGAAAAACAATAGCTTGCCAGTGATTCTGGGCGCCTGTGTCGCCTCTATAATAATAAACAACCACATCGAAAGGCCTGCAGAGGCAAACCTGTTCCCTAGGAAGAGCTTGCGGCTTGACAATCCCAAATGTTTAAAAGAAAAATAGGCCAAAGCCAGGTTATGTTGTCTGTGACCGATGAGAACCATGCCAAGGGCTACCCATCACTGATTGGAAATCGGAGCCAGGGTTGATGAGGAATCACCACCGCCCTGATTCTTCACACACTGGGCCCCAGCATTCTGCTGTGGAATGTCATCGGCACAGAGTCGCTGGCACAGGAGCCCATAGTGACGCTGCTGCCGAAAAAGGCAATTTCTAGCTGCTTCCAGCAACAAAGTTCAACGCCCTGGGCCATCCTCCCACCAGCTCCAGGGTGGGCGGTGGCAGAGCCTTGGGTGAGGTGGCTTGGGATTTAGACCAAGAACTGCCGTGCATGGTGTCTGACAGCTACCTGTCTGCACTCCCTATCTGAAGATGTGGGCCCTTTCCCTGGGACTCGGAGAGCCACTGTTGGGGGGCTTGGTTCACACATGCATGTCATAGACCAGAAAGGGTGTGTACTATGGGCACAGAATTTTCCGAACATTGAAGGAAGAGGGAATCCTGATTTTCAGGTACTTCTCTGAAGGCTGTAAGTTTTCTGACCTTGGACTAAAGCTCACATATGGAGGAAGGGGAGGTCAAGGGAAGACGCAAACAATGCCAGTAGCCCTAATTTTTGTTGTGGGTGGTGAGTTCTGTGCATTTATAAACTTTAGGATATGTAATATTAAAATTTAATATTAAAATGAATTTGCATTTTGCATATATGCACCACTCCTTTGCTTATTCGACCAAGATTTATCTACAGTATGCTTTGCTGACACAAAAGGCTGGAAGGAAAGAGTGAAGGGGAAGAAAGAGCGAAAGTGACCCAGACATGTACTGAATCAAATATCCAGGGGAAATTAAGAACTGACACTGCCCAGGTGTAGTGTGCACACCTGTAAGACCAGCACTCTGGTAGGCTGAGGCAGGAGGGTTGTATGTTCAAGTCCAGCCTGGAACAACTTAATGAGACCTTGTCTCAAATTAAGACATAAAAAACAGGCCTGGGGCTAGGGATTTATCTCAGTGGTTTCACCACCTGTCTTGCAGGCACAAGGGCCCAAGTTCAATCCCCACTACAAAAAAACAAAACAAAACAGCCCTGGCAGGTAAGTCAGTGTGAAGGCCCTGGGTTCACTCCCAATACCTCGAAACCCAAACAAATGACACTGCCTTAAACAGTCAGTAAGTTTGCAATACTGGAAATGTAACAAGAAAATTAGACATTATTCAATTAGAAATAGAATAAATCTCTCAAAATACAAAAGAAAGACACCATAATAGAAAGTAGTAGAAAATTAAAACTTGTTCCCTATAGTATCAAAAGTTCTAATTTTTTTATTCCTGAGAAACTAGAAAATATGGACTTACATCAACTTAGTTTTCCAAATTACTGAATTGTAGGGAAAAAATTCTTAAATGCAGAGGGAGCCATTCTTTTAATAGATTGCTTTCTATTTCGTTCCATCTTACTAATCAGGAAAAGTTTGTTTGGATGACATTTTCACAAGAGCCCCACTTTCAGCCATCAAACCAAACAACTTATAAAATGTTCACCAAAATATATATTGGAAAAGAGAAACTGGGCAAAGGTTTTTAAAATTAACTTTTCAGATTATAATGTTTATTTCTTCACTCTCCAACTAAGCTTTTCTTGAGTAACCCTTAATGAAAACAAAGTAAGACAAAAATATTTTCAAGACTGGTGTTAGGGTCAGAAGGGAAAAAATGGTTATCAGAGATGTTTATTAGGAATTTCTCCCCAAGTAGTTGGTGAAAATTGGAATTATGTGCATGAAATCCAAAATAATTTATCTTGCAATTCTCTAAACAGACCATACCTTATGTGAAAAAAGTTCAATTTTCAATGAAATAAATTTCTAGAGAAAGAAAATTGTGTACTGTACTTGAAGATGCCTATAGTAATGCAAGAAGATGAGGCTTATTATCTGTAAATAAGCAATATAAATGTGATCACCTACAAGGTGTTCACCTCCCTCCCAGGTATGCAAAGTACAAGCCTCCAGAGAATGACAATAAGCAGAGACTGCAAATTCCTCTCTAGGTTCAGAGCCCTTAGGCAAGGTGAGGCCTACCCTAGGTAGTTGGGTGCCAAGGATTACATAATGCCACAGAGGAATATGAGACTTTTTCTGCTGGGTTCAGTTCATCCAAAGACTTTTTCAAAGGATGACTGAGACAACGGTGACATTATAAAGTAGAATGCAAAAGTCTATGACTTTTTTTTTTTTTTTTATAAAAAGACTTCCAGTACCTTTCAAGTCTGGGGCAGACTATTTGGAGCTACACATTTTCTCTCTATAACCCACTCTGCTTCATGTTGGTGCTGTCTTGTTGTTACTAGAATCAAAGCTGCTTGAGGGTGGAGGTCTTGTATCTCCAGTCTGGTAAATCACTCAGCAAATATTCATGGGATGAATAAATACAGTGAATATCTTCTCCCCTGGGAAAATCACTCTACTATCACTTATCCATTCTCGTTTGCCTCTTCCCATTTTTTCCCCCTTTGGCTCTTGTCTCTTGCATAAAAAGAGAAATCTTCAAGATTCCCCATTTTGACAAATCAAACCACAGCCCTGAGGACCCTGATGAATCTTTGCCACTGCTTCCACTGATAGTCCTCTGCTTTTTTCTCTACCACTCCCCAGGTGACATCACCAATACCCTGAGTTTCAGCCGAGACATCCACAAGGTGACTTCCAGTGACATGTGTTCCCTGGCCCAGCCCCATGTTCTGGAGCTGCAAGATCTATCAGACAACTTCTTACTACTCATCCTGTATGCTTATCAGGCGTCTCACACTCCACATCTCCAGTATTGGCATCACATCACCACCTGCTCACCTGCCTTTACAAGTAATACCCTTCTTCAGTATTCCCTGTGTGAGGCACCCTGATCCACCCAGTTTGTCCAAGCCAGAAACCCAGATGGTTGTTCCTCCTCCTGCTATCTCATTCTGTAACTAAAATTTCAAGAAATTCTTTCAGTTTCACCTCCCAAACCCTTCTTTTCCGGCCCTGTTCAGCCCCTTCAGTGGGCCTCCTGACGCAGCTCCTTTCCTTACCATCCTCCTCCTCAGGGGTGCAGACATACTTCCTCTGAAATCCATCTTGCTGATCCACACCACATTTGGAAGACAGCCTCACATCTTTTATGGCCCAAGGCAACCTAGCTTCCCACCTTGTTTTGTTGTTGTTGTTTGGGGATTTTTGTTGTTGTTGTTGTTGTGTTTTTTTTCCACAATTGTCCTCCTCTAAACTTTCCCCAACCAAGTGCCTTCAGCCTTCTCATCCTTTTTCAGGTGAGCATTTCTGCCTGGAACTCCCCTTTCCCTTTTATTTAACTGTGCCTGTATTTAAAGACTCTCTTCCTCTTAGGGATGGTTTAGATGCTCTTTCCCTGGAGCCCCCACAGCATCACATGTGTATTTCACTAGCAAGCATTTCCCCAAACCGAAGTCGATTCACCCACTGCCTCCATCTCTCTACATTGTACACTCTTGAGAGAAAAGACTATGTCTTTACACGTTTTTAAATCCCTCATTCTTTGCTCAGTTCCTGGCATAGAATAAGTGCTCAATAAACTTTAAATGCAATAATGATTTTCTTCTCTGCTCCCTAGGGTAGAATAAAGCCAAATAAATCTCAACTAAATGGAACATAACACTTGGGG